ATTGCGGATACCTAGCAAGACGAGTGGAAGAGCGTCTGTCCACTGTGAAACGTTTGAAGCTGATAATGAAGCTTTTAGTTGTCGATGAAAACGTTCTATCAACCCGCTTGCTTGTGGGTGGTAGGCGGTCGTTCGGAAGCGCGTGATTTTTAAAAGTGAGGTCAGACAACGGAAAAGTCCAGATTCGAACTGGCGTCCGCGGTCTGTAGTGATGGTTGAAGGGCAGCCGAAATTTGCTACCCATCGTTCGACGAAAGTGCGAGGCACTGTTTCAGCAGTAATGTCCTTAATAGGTACTGCCTCTGGCCATCGAGTAAAACGGTCTACGCATGTTAGGAGATAAGAGTATCCGTTTGAATCGGGTAAGGGTTCTACCAAATCTAGATGAACGTGGTCGAAACGAGCGTCAGGGGTTTTGAAAGAGCCTAAGGGACATTTGTTGTGTCTTAGGATTTTAGATTTCTGACAGCTTACACAGGAGCGTGCCCACTCCCTCACGTCTTTATTCATGCCAGGCCAACAAAAGCGTTCGGCTATGAGTTTGACTGTTGCACGAGCACCTGGATGAGAAAGATTGTGCAACGTATTGAAGACGTTGCGTCGATAATGTTTTGGTACTATTGGACGATCCGTACCTGTAGATGTGTCGCAAAGTAAAGTTTCCTTACCTGTTCCCATCTGCTTAATACTTAGTTTAAGAGTTGTCGAGGGTAACTCATGCTGAAGATCAATGTCTTCTTTTTGAAGCTGAGCGAGTTTAAGAAGGTCGATTCCTTGGAAACTGTTCAAGGAACTTATTCGAGACAAAGCGTCTGCGACTACATTGTTTGCTCCAGAAATGTGTTGTATATTTGAAGTAAACTGCGAAATGTAGTCCAGTTGTCGAGACTCTTGTGGTGAGTACTTATCTGAAGATGAACTTAGAGAGAAGGTAAGAGGTTTATGACCGGTAAAAAGCGTGAATTCTCTTCCCTCGATGGAATGTTGAAAATGCAGTACAGCACAATACATAGCTAGGAGTTCCCTACCGAACGTGCTGTACCTAGATTCCGCGTCTAGCAACCGTCTCGAGAGAAATCCCAAAGGTTGTCAAGAGTTGTTAACCCATTGTTGTAAGACTCCTCCGATTGCTGAATCGGATGCGTCTACGGCGATACTAATGGGCGCTTGAGTGTCCTGATGAGCAAGCAGGGTTGCTTTACGGACTGTGCCGTCTAGATTAATTGATTTTGCATTTCCACGGAGCTGATCGGTTAACGATTTCATAAGGGATGCGCATTTGAGTATGAACCGTCTATAGAAACTTACAAGTCCGTTAAAATTTCCTAACTGCTTGATCGTGGTCGGTTCTGGGTAATCCAGAATGGCCGCCACTTTGCTTCTAAGGAGTCGGATGCTTTGGGCATCAATGGTGTGTCCTAAGAAGTCTGAGGTGTTAGTTCCGTTTTGGCATTTCTGAATGTTTACAGTAATGCTATGCCTTTGGAGTCGATCGAAAACAATGTCCAGATGCTTGAGATGCGATTCTCTGTCTGGACTTGCTATGAGACAGTCATCAAAATACGCATGTACGAAGTTGAGACCTCGGAAGACGTCGTCTATAAACCTTTGGAAGGTTTGAGCCGCGTTTCTTAAACCAAAAGGCATTCTCAAGAATTCGTGAAGACCGAAAGGAGTGATGATGGCGATTTTATGAACGTCGTCAGGTGTGCCATCGGTATTTGATTATAAGCATTAACCAAGTCGATTTTTGAAAAGACGGTTGTACCTTTCAAGGTAGCTGTCAAATCGTGAATATGAGGCAGCGGGTAACGATCAGGAATGGTTTTTGCATTCAGACGCCGATAATCACCAGTTGGCCGCCAATCATTGCTGTCCTTTTCAGGGACCATGTGCAATAGGGATGACCATGGACTATTTGATGGTCGAATTCGTTTTTGGTTAACCTAAGTTTTTCGGGAGCGAGTCGGCGGGCTTTCGAGAATACAGGTGGTCCTGTAGTCGAGATGTGATGTGTAACATTGCTGGTTACACAAGGCAATTTCGATTGCGATTGGTATATCCCGGGGTATTTGTCGAGTACTGATTGGTACAAGGGGTCTATAGTGTGCTTAATCGTGACTGGGGATAACCTGCAACCAGAACAAGGAGTTACGCAAACAGATAACTTAATGTTTCCGTCTATTAACTTTCGTGAGCGTGTGTCGATGAGTAGATTGTGGTATTGTAACAGGTCTATACCAATGATTGGCATAGAGACATCTGCAACCACGAAAATCCGATGTGTGGGTTTGCGTAAACCCACGTTAAGGTAGACGTACCTTTTACCGTAAGTAGCGATCGGCTTTCCGTTTGCCGCCTGTAAACGTAAAACAGAACCGCGCAGTCTGTCGTTGCGATTTGCTGGAAGAACGCTAACTTCTGCGCCAGTGTCGACGAGGTATCGAACTTTCGTAGTCACATCCGTGACATATAAGAGGCGGCTGTGTTCGCCGGCTACGGTTGCCGTTAACGCGTGCCGGCTGGGAAGTTTCCCGAAATCTTATTCGTGTCATTCGATTTTGAGGTCGGAAAATTGCAGGGTTTCCCGCAATTTCTGGAAAGCTTACCGTACTGGTTATGATACCAGCACCAGTCGGGATTGTGTCTCTCGTGGTCAAGAGCCAGATCGCTTACGTGAAACGCTTCTACGCGGGGTTTTTGACCGACTACGGTCATTACGAACTCTAAGATATCGTGTAAGCGTGTGACATAGTTCGGCTATGTCAGTCGGGGTCGATTGAGGTTTTTCCTTGACGGAAAAAACCTCCGCCTTAGATGATTTTGTGATTTCTAAAATGCAGTTGGCAGATGCAGCCAGCTCGTCTATGGCGTTGTTTTGAAACGAGACGAGCACTGCCTGCACCTGTTGAGGGAGTTTAGAAAAGAAAAGTTGTCTGAATAGGCCATCATCGAAAGTTCGTTGGCCGATGACTTCTCTCATTCTAAGCAACATGTCTGTCGCAGAACCATGTTGCAGGTCGATATTGTTAAGGAGTTGGTCTAACCGTTGTCGATCAGTTGGGTCTCCACGTTTTAAAATCGATTGGTTGAGAATTTCGTAAGGTTCGGGAACATCACTAGTAAACATACTAGGTGTTACGTACCTGTTAAACTCGCGCGTTAACGCCTTAACTACTGCGAGGAATCGTGTGCGCGAGTCCATGATTCCGTGCATGCAAAAATCAGCTTCTGTGTAGCAGAACCAGGACTTGATATTGTCGGGTCAAAATGGCGTTAACTGAATCGGAGTAGGGTAAATAGACCTTAACATAAAAACCTTAGGTGAGTGTTCCGTCATAGTAATACAACTAGCAACCAGTAGTACCTTCTATATTCGAAACCCTTTTGGCCAAACAGAAATCAGAAGTCAGACGAGAAAAGGTAGGAAAGATATATTTGATACGTTATCAATATATCGAGGAACCTTTACTATAAGCTGGCTAATGAACGTAGGAGCAGTGTCCCACGCCGAGTTGAAACGTGATCTGGTACGGATGCATGACTGAAAGCCTTCAGTTAAACAAGTCCACTTAAACAACGTGTTCAGCATCCAATGTCGGACACTTAGAAAGCTATCGATTTTGGGGAATTATTTACAGCTACAGGCTCAATAAGAGTAGGTGATAAACATCCGCCCTCCTCAACTTACAAACATATAGCCGAAACAGGTCATACGTTTGAACTTAACATAGCTCTTGTTTTGTTTCTCAGCGGTAAAGGGCATGTATTAGGGCCTATTGAAGCCTCGGACACACACAAGTTCGACCCCACCCTTTATGTACTCATAAACAGTCTGTTTTAGCTCCAAACCTATCCCGGTAATGTTAGTTCACTATCTAAGTTAATGTTTGATGAATTGTTGAATAAAACATGAATACAAATATGCTTAAATCTGCATTCTATACCTGGGACAACAATATTTGGGTGATGGAGGTATTAAGAAACCAAGATGAAGCTTAATCTGAACGAGTTTATTTCAATCACTCGCCTACTAACTGACTTTGAAGATGAGAAGCAGGAAGGCGAAGCGGAGAGGGCAAGCCTGCCAACTGATCTTAACAAAGCGTGACTCATTATATACAGCTAGAGAGAAATCAGCTAAGGAAATATGATCAATGAAATGATACACACTCATTTAAAAATGGTCAGGGTTGTGTGTGAATGATTCACAAGGTTAAAATCGGACACAAGTAAAATAAATTGATTGGTCTGTCTGGAAGCTGGAGTACCATATATGGGCGTTGCCGTACTTAATTAATTACACCTCTTTTCCCACGCTGAGTAGAAAAGGACGCCCAAAAGAAATCTCCATCGAACGCTGTCCGGAGAAATTCCTTACAGTCGTTCTAGTTCAAATTCATTCCTTTGATGCCGGCTTTCAATTTCCGATAAAGTACGTTCCTTGAACTTCCTCTTTTCCAAAATTATAACCCAATACAAATCCATCCGTAGAAATTTAAGCACTAGATTAGAAATATGTCTCTCCATGAAAATAAAACCACAAAGGTATGTGATTACAGTTAAATTCATTTTGCAAGCTCATTATTGGTAAGAGCCTACAGAAATCAGAAGCGTAAAGGAGGAGTAGCTCTAGTCATTAAAAAATCAATCTCATTTATCATTACTGATAACGTATACCATGAGAGCGGCACGTGCTAATCAGTTAGTTGTCGCTCGAAACGCAAAGGACAAGAGCTTCTTGTCGGTTTGGTTTACCTCTGTTCAAGTTGTGAGGTTAATGATGCCTTGATAGTCGGGTTTTAATACTTGATCATAACGTGGCCGACTTTTTATTCTGGGAGACTTAGTGCACATACGGTAGATTGGAAAAGTCTGAGAAATAAATTGTAAGAAAACTCCTTCGAACAGGAACCATTTGATGCAGTCATTGCATATGCCTCTCGCTTCGAGTGATTTGTTAAGCTCAATCCCTCTATTGGCGGACTCGCTACAGAGGTGATTTTTGAACTGTGAGTTTTGTTGTTTCTGCATCGGTTGTGGTTTATTTAGTTTTTGACTCTATATGAGTTATGTGCAGGGTAGAAATATAGTAGAAAAAGCAATTAGCATTTAATCATTCGTCAGACCTAACAATCTGGCAACTTGTATAAAGCCCAGGCTTAGGCTGAAACTTTGTTAGAGACCTGATCAGAATAGTTAACAGATTTATCTCGGAGGTCGTTGAAGTGCTCAATTTTGGATTTAGTGCATCTTCGTATGTAGTTAGAACTGACTTTGGAAAATGAAGGCAACAAGTATTCAATAAACCTTAAAGTTCCATCGTGAATCGTTAGGCTCTTTTGTGTGTATAGATATTCGGGTCTGCTTCATTGTGAATAAGGTGTTCTGGCAAATCCGGATGGCATACCTTAGAGGGTTGTTAACTTTTCTGCATAGTCATCGGTGCATACTGCGTGTCAGTCTTCATTTATTTTTGTCATCCATTCAGCGATTATAGAAAATATTCACTCAATGACTAAGTAAGTATAAAATAATATAATCACCACAACCTTCGAGTGATGTTGCAAAACAACGTTTACCCTCTTTAGTGCGAACCATTCTGTATACAGCACTTCATTCGTCATCTCACTCTGACCTGGTTCTGCAACTGGCAAAGCAAAAATCAATTGATACCCATAAACTGAGGTTGTACAAACAGTTGATTAACTTCATGGTCAAAAATTTCGAAGGGTTTGGAGAATCCGTTTGTACTATCCATTTATGTTTCGCTAGTAGGAACAAGCTACTATAACCACCTAAAGTAAGAATAAGGATAACTACTTGGCAAAATGTTGTTTATGATGAGATAAGAGCTTTTTCTCGGGCAAATAGTCACTTTAACATATTATGTGTGCCGATCAGTCATATGGAACTTGGGACCTGATACTAATGAACATCGGTTCTAGTCGTCGTTTTGGCACATCAAGATGAGACTGTCAGGAAAAACCTCAGAGTAGTAGAGGTGGAAGTGGTATTGGTTGTAGTAGAAAAAAAATAGGCAAGGAAGATAATATGGATAGGTAGGGAACAGTAGTTTAAGATGAAACTTAGAATCTAAGGAAATACACTGAGTGATTGCACCTATACCATTCTGTCAGTCACAACGTAAAACTTCGTACGTACATACATCAGTTCGATTTGCCATATCACGTTGACACAAAGATGCAGTGGTCGATTCAAATCCCATAGTGGTAAAAGTAGTAAGAGTATAAGCAGTAATCCGGAAGATTAGGGTTTGAAGATGTTATTCAAGGAGTATAATCCAGTGCAATAAATTTGGAAAGAAAAAAGATCGGGACATGCAGAATCCAGATTAGAATTTGGGAGGACACAAAGAGCGGATGCACCTTCGCTATTGCAAACGATTTTGAGCCATGTCATTCAAGGTCTCTAACCATTGATTGCTATCATGACGCGGATCCCAACCAGGTAGTCTACACCTACCAACATGATTCAGTCCACTTGTCAGTGACTTCATGGATTTGTGCTATGTTTTGGTCTGGCCGCAACTAGCTTTCTTCCAATTTACTTCTACACTATAAAACATCACACGTCGTGGCAGTCGGTGGTTGGGCATACGTAACACGTGTCCCACCCATCTCAATTGATGAAGTTTCACTACTTCAATCGATTTGCCATACTTACCTAGTACTCGTTTCCTAACACGACTGCATCACTTACTCGGTGGTTCCAGGATATACGAGCAATGCTTCGAAGACACCTATGATCGAATACTAGTAACCTACGAATATCCTCTACTCTTACCGGCCATGTTTCACCGCCATAAAGTAGGAAGGAACGAATTGTTGTGCAGTAAACCCGTCCTTTGGTTGGTAGACGGATATCTCGCCTACTCCATAAATTATGCAATTTGGCAAAAGCTAGATTCGTCTTCTGTATCCGTACTGAGATTTCGTCACACACCAGACCATAAGGGCTGATAAGACTCCCAAGATAAGTGAAGCGGTCAACACGCTCAACTACTTCACTCCCTATCATTAGTTTAGGTGTTGATGCAACCCAATCCTGAAGTAACATCTGGCATTTCGAGGGGGAGAATCCCATCCCGAACATGCATTGTTGCTTACGGTGGTCGCTCAGAAAGTTAAATTTATTCCTCCGAACAATATGTTTTTAAACCATGAAATTGAGGTTTTTGTCTACGGCGTTTACTCATTGTAGAATTATTTTAAGCTTTCTTCCAGCCAGCAGATGGTCTATTTTGAAAGATATAGGAGGGTTATAGCGAGGAAAGCAACGTATTTTTGTCGATTAAACTAAATTAAATGCCACATCACAATGTGGATTCATTTGAAATCAGAGTCTTTTTTTATTGTCAGTCATAATGTAAAACCTAGCATAGGTGTACTTTAGCTTAGATTGCTAAATCACATCAACGAATCAAGATGACTTTACGTGATAAATACCAAAGGAGTTGAAATGAATGATTGACTGTGAGAAGCCTAAATCTTAGCTAATTGATTAGAAGTCATGCGTAATAAACTTATCTGTTGACTGCTTACAGTGGAATTCTTTTACAATTACATTAGCCACATTTGTGGAAGCCATGTACAGTTGGAGATACGGTATACCATTAGTCAAACGGTGTAGATATGAGCCAAAACATGTTTCAATCCATAGTTGTTACACTCCACACCACAGAAAAAAATCCACTAGGCAAAAGGTGGTTCTTCTGCATGAGACCATGCGGGCATGTTGTGCTTCGTAATTTTCATTCGACCTAATTTTTGCGATTCCATCCAAGTTCTTGTTGAATGATAAAGGATCTGTTTATCTCTTTTGAAGTTTCATGGGTGTTGTATTATTTATTTATTTATTTAATCACATATATGTTGGTACAAAGGGCACCGGATACATATGCGCCACACAAAATAATGAGAATGGAAGAAGGAAGAAGATGCGTATATATAAAAGAAGGAAAAAAAAGAAGAGTAATGATGGGGGGGAACTGAATGTACAACCAGAAGACTCTTTCAAATAGGAAAGTAAAAACCATACTTTATGAAGAAAGTAGAAGAAGGTTACAGCAGGCTCGCCACTGGCTTCTATTCTGAGCCACATCTGATAACGTCTCCAGCCACTGTGTTGCACCATCTCTCGGACCCCAGCCAGGGAGTCGTGAAGGACCAACAGAAGCTAGCCCTTTGCAGCTCTCTTTCATGCCACGACACCATGTCATACACTGACCTCCTCTCCGCTTTTTCCAACCAGTCCCAGAGTCGGCAAGTAATGCACGACGTAGAAGCCTTCGGGACGACATTCATAGAACATGTCCAAGCCACCGAAGTCGGTGTTTCAAGATGGTGACACCAATTGAATGATCGTCTCTGCGCCCCAACACACGATGCCGAACCTCTGCATTACTAACATGGTGTTGCCACTGGATGTCAGCAATCCTTCGGAGACAACGATGATCGAACACAGAGAGACGTCTAACATCCTCAACTCGGAGATGCCAGGCTTCACAAGCATAGAGCAAAACTGCTCTCACCGACGCGTTGTAGATCCGACCTTTAACAGCCAGACTAACATCACGAAGGCGCCAAAGATGGCCCAGATTGGCATAAGCCGCTCTGGCTTTCATTATACGTGCATCAATCTCATCACTCACGCCACCACCAGCACTTATGTAGCTACCTAGATACACGAACTTCTCAACTACTTCAATCTGCTCACCATCCAGGGTGAGTATAGGATGAGAATCCTGCCAGTCTTGTAGAAGTACCTTGCACTTGGAGGGTGCAAGTCAGTCAGTCAGTCAGCTACAACGTAGGACCAGGCACATTTATGCATCGGTCCAAGTTGCCATACCTCGTTAGCACAACAAGATGAACACCGGATTCATAGAAGTAATTAATTTACTGGTGGTAGTAGTATATAAATTATAGGTTGTATATAAGGATATAGTACAGGAAGGAAGAGAGATATGAAGCAATTTTAGTCTCAAGGTTTAAAGGAAGATAAAGAGTGTATACACCTACGCCATTGTGATCGATTCTGAGCCATGTCACCTAGAGTCTCCAACCACTGGTTACGATAGTCACGCGGACCCCAACCAGGTAGTCTGTATCTGCCAACATGGCTCAGACTAGAAGTTAGTGACTTCAAGCACTGATGCCATGTTTTGGTTTGGCCGCCCCTAACTCTCTTCCAACAATCCCCAGTACTAGTCATCATAGCGCGTCGTGGTAATCGGTGTTCAGGCATACGTAACACATGGCCCAACCATCTCAGTCGATGAAGATCCATCACCTCATCAATTGATTTACCATCGTTCCCTAATACCCTGCGTCTAACCTCACTATTACTTACCCGGTTATCCCAGCAGATGCGAGCAATATTTCTAAGGCATCTGTGGTCAAATACTAGTAACCTACGAGTATCTTCTACTCTTAATGGCCATGTTTCACAACCGTAAAGTAGAAGAGGGTGCAAAGCACATACCGTACCTACGGACACTGATTGCCAACTGATTAAGTGTGGGTTGCATGCCTTGGGCATTATCGCACAGTAAGACAATATCATCCGCATACTCGAGGTTGAGAAGTCGTTCTCCAGGCAACATATCCACACCGCCATTACTTACATCCATCAGAGCTGTTTCCAGGATATCGTCGATGGCAAAGTTGAAGAGGAATGGTGAGTTTGGGCAACCCTGCCTAACCCCACTGCTCGAATGGAACAAGGGAGAAAGGTGGTTGTATGCCCTCACTCTGCCTGAGGTGTTCGTGTACAGGGCCTTTAAGATGTTAATGAACTTCTCAGGCACACCCTTCTTCAATAGAAAATTCCAGAGAACAGTCCTGTCCAACGAATCGAAGGCAGCCCTGATATCAAGAAATATACGATTGTTGGCCTGCGATAAGTATGACGGTGTTCTAACATTTGGCGGAGGGTGAAGATGTGATCAATGCATCCTCGACCAGAACGAAAACCAGCCTGCTCCTCGCGAGTCAATCGTTCTCGGGTTTTAAACAACCTACGAAGAATGATAGAAGCCAATAGTTTGGACGCAATCGGAAGAAGACTTATCCCCCGATAGTTATCACAGGAACAACGTGAACCCTTTTTAAAGATAGGGACGACTATCGGCTCATTCCATGATGTTGGAACACTTTCTTGCTCCCAAACCTTTGCAAACAACACCGTCAATTCCTTAGCCAGAAAGTCACCACCATCTTTAAAAAGAGCCGAAAGTAAGTCATCTGGGCCAGGTGATTTGTAACGTTTCAAGAGTTGGAGTTCCTTGCGGACTTCCGCCTCGTTTGGTGGATCAGTCTTCACCGGCCATGGGGGGGCAGGACAAACTGGTCGATGTTGCCGGAGCAGCAGGCCAATTAAACTGCCCTTCGAAAAATTCAGCTCATCGTCCAAGACGTCGAGAGATGTTAGTGATTGGCATCCCGTCATCCTCGTAGATTGTTTCACTCACACCAGACTTCTTGCTGCCAGTGGCTCGGATGAGTTGGAAGAGCTTCCGGCAGTTATCAGATGCAGCTGCTGCTTCCATCTCATTAGCACGCTCTGACCACCAGGCTTCTCGGTCCTTACGCAAGCTTTGCCCAATTTCATTACGTAACAGCCTTCGTTTGTGGTCATACTCACTGTCACCCGGAGTAGACCGACGGGCTTCCATCAGTTGTAAGGAGCCAGAAGAAACCCAGTGCTTGTAAGCGGGACGTTTCGCGAAGCCGCAAGCGGCTTTACTCGCCATTTTAATGGCGTCGTGAAGATGCAACCAATGCTCATCTATACTTTTCGGTGGGATGGTAGCTAGCCTAGAAGCTAGCTTCGCTCGATACTTACTTGTAACAGATGTTGCAGCCAGTTTACTAGCATCGATTCGTTGGTGGTGATCAATCGTTCGACCACTGAAAAGTAAGGTGAGATTGGCGCAGACCAGGGCATGATCAGACTCCAGATAGGTACTCCAAAAGGAGCAGCAGTTTTGTACACAATCACGCCAGCGGTAGCTGATCGCGATGTGATCGATCTGAGTCCAGGCTTGGGATGCAGAGGGAGGACGCCAGGTAGCACAACAGCGATGACTGTGCCGGAAGTTAGTGCTGGCCAGAAACAGGTTTTAGTCTGTGCACAGTTGCAGCAAACGGTCCCCATTATCTGTCCTGCGACCAACAAGTCCCCATCGGCCACCTAAACGACTCTCTTCTGTGCCTAGACGCCCGACCTGTGCATTCAAGTCTCCGGCCAGTACTACAATATCTGTCGAACGCGCTTTCTGGAGAAGAACTGTTAACTGATGGTAAAACTCATCCTTGATTGCATCCGGGCTGCAATCTGTCGGAGCATAGGCGATGACGAAAAGACACCGATTCTCACGCCGATTTCTTCTCACTTTGATGGAACTTTCTAATCTAACAGCACATAACCGACTGTTAATGGGGATCCAATCGATTAGTACTGCCTCAGCCCTAGCGCTTAGTGCAAAACCAACGCCAGCAAGACCAGACGAAGGTGTCACAGAGTCCCCGGGATAAGCGCACGTGAAACAAGCTTTTCGAGGCGACAGATGGAGAGCGGATTTGTAGTACTTCACTAGAGTCTTGAATGCGGGTCTCGGATAGACAACAAACGTCAACATTAAGACCTTCCGAAGACATAGCCAGCCCTATCTGTTGTCTGATCTGCATTAGTGTGCGAACGTTGAAGGAAGCCAGCTTGAACGGCGTACGTGGTTTCAGAAGGACTGCTTCAGTATTCATAATCGGTGGAAGCATTCACTTTCAACCAGACAGTGACTGGAGATCGTTTAGATAGGACAGATTTTCCACCAAGAGCAAGCTGCTGCAGAAGATGAAAAGTAAGGTTACACAAATTGGGGATAAAAGGGGGTGAGTTAGCGATATGGTAAATAATAATAATAATAATGCAAATTGAATTGTTTCTTGTATGAACGAGAATATAATTGTCAGCTGAATGTTCCATTTCATTTATTTGCGAGAGAGCTGTGATACTGCCCGGGTGCCCAAACCGAAGCAGGGTGTTGTATGCCTTAGTCCAGTATCCGGGGCGCAACTGGTAGCAGACTCTTCCTCGATTGGTTACCACATACATCGCACTTTTCCGAGTTGGGTAAGATTTTCTTTGTTCCAGATTGTCAGTTCATGTATTTTTAAGTAACCCAGTTGGCTTTTTAGTCAGAAATTCACCCTTATCCCTGAAGGGAGGAGGTCACAATAAAGTAATAACCCAATCAACTAAATCAAAAGTGATGGGTAAGTACTCAGATAAAAAGTAGCTCAGTAATCAAGTACGAATTTGATAAGTGATCTTTGATTGATGATTTCATTTATTTCTCAATGAATAGATTTATGGAGTGTGTTATGTTTTGTATCATTTAGGCGCTGAGTGTTCAATATGTCGTCAGAAGATGATTGGTCAAAGTTACCCACTCTGTCCAAAGTACAACACAAGGTATTTAACATTCTTCCATCCTAATCCTGACCCTAGCTCTGGAACGCACGTGTGGCGGGATACGAAGAAGCGTTCAAAATATTTTCAACAGAGACAAGTGGAAAAAGTCCTGTTTTTAACGAATATGTTGGATTAATGAAGAAGTTTGTTACTGATTCTCATGCTGGAGCTCAGGAAAAAGCTCTGGATGCTGTCTTAGCATACATAGAAACAGCTGCAGCAGCGACGAAGTAACTTTTGAGTTTTCTCTAACTCTTGTTAGATGCGCTGGAGATATTTGTTCCGGTATCATATCAAAATGTCTAGGTTCTACTCGAATGAAAACAAAAGACAAGTCAATTGAGTGCCTACTGATGCTGATAGAAATCGAGCGTCATGAATTAGTAATAGAAGAGCTCATAAAAGGTTTATCAACTAAAAATCCAAAGGTTGTTGTCGGAAGCTTACAGACGCTTCGTGAAGCTCTAAAGTGAGAATAATTTCGCTAACTACTTATTTGTACGTAGTCTTTTTGGCCCAACTGTTGTCCCGATCAAACCTCTTTTTAAAGAGTTTGGACGACTACTTGATGATCGAGACCAAGGAATTCGAAACGAAACGAAAAATCTCATTGTTGAGGTCTACAGATGGATAGGAGTAACCACGAAAGACTTATTAAAGGATATCAAACCAGTTGTGGTATGTATACCAAGTGTAATTCTAAAAACGACTTTCAGATGACTGAGTTATGTGAATTATTTAACTCTATTCCACCCGAAAAACCTGTTCGATTGAGATATTTACGCAGTCAAAAACCTAAAGAAGTTACTTCAGATACTGGGACTGAAAATGGTCCTAGTGATGACGCTATTCCAGGTGAAACCCTAACCGACCAGGTTGATTTAGATAATATGATTACTCCTGTTGAAGTTCTTAGCAAAATCCCCAACGATTACTGGCAAAAAATAGTAAGTTCTTCGTAATAAGGTTGATCTCGTCTTTCAGGGGGAAAAGAAGTGGCAAGATCGGCGTGACGCTTTAGAGGCAGTTGAAAAAATTACGAACGTTCCTCGGATCGTTCCGGGTGATTTCACAGACCTCGTGAAAAGCTTGATTCAGGTACGTTGTGACCCAATTATGTCTATAATCTGCAGGTTATAAATAAAGATACTAACATAATTCTGGTGACTCTTGCTGCTAAAATTTTGGGACAAATAGCACGAGGATTAAAATCTAAGTTCAGTCCTTACTCCCAACAAACCTTACAAGCGTGTTTAGGGAAGTTTAAAGAAAAGAAGCCCAATGTTGTTCAAGCTCTAAGAGAATCTGCTGATGGTGCTATATCTTCGGTATGTTCTTTTATTTGCACATAAATAGCATGTTTCATCATTTCATATTGGCATGGATGTTTACTAGGTCTCATTTTCCATTCGATTTTTTTCTAAGGTAACTTAAATTTTCTGCTTTTCAAATATCCATAGTTGAGATTTCAGCTCTTGAAATCGAAAGTTTGATTTAGTTGAACCTTATTGTGTCTAAGATCCTACTAGATAAGTTTTCGTCTAGCGATTAGTATAGGTAAATAACTTCACTGACCAATATTTAAAGCTGAATTTGAAATCTTGTCCAGTGATTAATACTGACATTCCACTTTGTTTATCCGTATTAATTCAGCAGGTATAAGTTGTCTATTTGGCAGTTAGCGCGTGTTTGATCGAAAAAATCACAAATACATCTCAGTAAGTGCACGTTGTTTAGGTAAAGGACTTTTCTACAGGTACCTGCAAATACCACACCATATTGTTTATTCGCTGCATTTAGAAACTTGATCAATAAGTTTCAATACCGAGAACTAAATAGGATTGTACTAATTACTATGCCGCTATCGATTGGTTATCAGTCAGTGATATGCATTAGGTTGGTTTTTCAGTCCGTTAGTTTAATGTGAAAACGTTAAGGACTGTTCAACCCGGCTTTTTGATATATATATATATATATATAATCTGGTAATATTTATTTTTGTTTTTTAACTTATGAGATTTCAGACACTTACTAAGTTTATATCAAATACGCTTGTTTAAAGAAATACGGATTTTTTTAAAGCACTGTTATAAAAGTGTCATCTTTGTAATAGTTTTCTTTTTACTTATTGTTTTTGAGAATGTGGATTGCATTCTCACACTAGCGATATCGTACCAATTTCTAGTGATATAATTGTTTCATATTCTCATTTTATTGACTTGAATTGAGGAATTTGTATGCGATTTCGTCTTTTAATGTTATGATAATATGACATTTTAACGTCTGAATTTTTTCAGCTATCTTAAATACGTACCTTAATTATGCTTTTTGTGGGTAAACGACTTGCTATTTATCGTTTAACTCACTTCATTTATTTTTCACAGATAACACTAGCAGACTATGATATACCGTTTCAACAGTTATGTGCTTCTTCGTATAGTTTCAGTTATAGTCAAATTAGTTTATAACTCTACTTACCATTCTTTTTTTAATGTTTGACGTTCTGTAATACTTGATAGAGTGGTTCAAAGCACTCACTTGTGGTAAATCATTAGTTGGTGGCTAATGACGCATTTTTTTATTTTTGAAGTGCAATTTCGCCTAATCCTTTTAACTTGTCACCCGTTTACTTCCATAGATTTGTATTTTTTCCTGTTGATCCCTTAAGGTTGCATTTCGAGTTGTTGTCAACTCTAGCATTACATATACAAAATTATTTCTATGTATAAAAAACAACAATGGAGACTTTGCAGTATTAGTTAGCGTTCGTCGCTCTTAAAGCACAAATAACATATTGGGAATTCGAGTGCTAGATCGGGGTTGGAATAAAGTGATTAGTGTTCCAGCTGTCTTTGTCTTCTCTCTCTCTCTCTCTCTCGCGTGCTTGCCAGCCAATCAGGGATAGAATAGTTTTCGTCCAATCCCAATAGATCTAAATCATGCCGATTTGTTAGATAACAAACATCAGTGAATTTATGTTCCTTGAATTGCACGTTGCAGGTGACTTCTCCTGTTAACTTCACTATGTCGCCCGAAGCATTTCGAGCAACATGTTTTGTTGGTCGGATGGGTGGGCACCCTAGCTTACTCCATGTGTTCTTGGAGATCAGTGTAATGTCGGAAGCAGTGTCCAACTGAAGACGAATAGGTTTTTCATTCACTAATAAATTCACATACTTCCGTTTACTTTGAAAACCAACTTTAAAAGTTGCAAACGTGCTTTTGACTTGACTCTGTGGCTGTCGCTTCGCCTTTACGCCACGATGTTTGGACTGACGTTTATCTGAGGAGCAGTGACCTTCTTTATGACCAATACGATGACATTGGCGGCATTTGTGGTTCTTGAATGGGCATAACTTCACAAAATGCCATGATCTGCAGAACCAACATGGTGATGGTGGTTTACCAGAAGGCTGCTGTGTGTTCGCCGTCTTTTGATTGGAAGATTTGGATGATCTGCATGCATTTATTGGAGCAAGATTGGAAGTCTTTGTATTTTGCTATACCATCGTGGTATCATGTTTAAGATTTAACAACCGTTGACACTCGGTTGTGACCATTTGCAGGGTCATGTTAGGCTCCTGCTCAATGCGCGATAGAATTCTGGTACGTATATCCATATCCATATCTTTAATCCACAGATAAAAATCAGACATTTAAATTGATCTGCTGTAATTTCATTTATTCTAAAACGTTCGCATTCTTTATTTACTTGTCCAGCGTATGTGAGATAATCATCAGATAAGGATTTAGATATTTTAAAACACTGATAATGCATGCTGAATAATGAGGATTGTTCACCAAAAATTTTGGACAAGGTTTGGACTGTCTCATTGAATGATAAATCTCGCGGATTTTGTGGCAAAATGAAATTCACATATTTGTTATATTCAAGTGTTCCGAGTCTTCTCAGGAGTAGGCGAACTTTGGCTGCATCATCAAGATTTGAGCATTCAACACGAAATGTGTCTTTAAAACTACGAAACCAGGAATCGAAAATAATACCAGAATCGGGATCATAATTGAATTCACAAATAGAACTTGCGATGCTGTCATATTTATCTGACTGAGAATTTGAAGATGAATGAAATGAGAGCTTTTGCATCAATGCATCTGAAATCTTCATTTGGTTTGCATCATTGTGAGCTTGCTGAATTTGTAGAATAGTTTTATGGTCGTCTAAAGAAACAGACATTTTGATTTGGATCAATCAATGTTTTGAAAAAAAATCTCCGTCGCCACTTTTGTTATGTCCTTGAATCTGTCTACCCACTTTAGTGCCGAGTATGACTTGTCTAATTTTATATATATATATATATATATATATATATATATATATATATATATATATATATATATAAAGGCCTCTTAATTATGAGATTCGAATAGTAATTGTAATGTCGATAGTTTTAATCTTGCTTCTTTAATCTCTTATACTCGGCTGCCGTTAATTTAACTTATGTTGTTGCTACCAAAATTTTCCTAATCGTTAACAGTTACTATTTTTCGTTTCCAGACTTCAGTAGATCATTTTGTGGATGATATTGTAGCCGCATTGGGTCACAAAACACCTAATGTACGTGCAGAAGCAGCTTTAATTCTAAGTAGAGCGTTCAAAAAATGTTCTGCCACATCACTAAACAAAAAGATTTTAAAATCATTTACTGTACCCTTATGTGTAACATGCAACGATACTGATCCTGAAGTGCGTGAATGTAGTTTTGCCGCGCTTGGTGCTGCAATGTTCGTCGTGTCGGCAAAAACTATCCAGCCTTTTCTCAGCGAACTTGACTCCATCCGCCTGGCGAAAATCAATGAATGTTGCGAACAAATAGCGTCTGAACTTAGTAATTCAAATAACTCTGGTTAGTTTAGGATTTCTGTTACATTTCTTATCAGTGGTACATCTTCATTCCCAATCTTTATTTATAACTACATGGTATTTCTGTCATAGATTACTCGATAATAGATAGTTGTGTAGTGTTTTGTTATAATCCAGCCTAACGCACGTGTGTAAGACGAATTTGGGCTACTAAACTGTGAGGAATTATTTTTCTAGCGTAGTGGGTAAACAGGCTCGAAGGCTCCTGGTCTAGTCAGAATAATCTAATGCTTTATCACGAGTATGATGTTTCCCTAATCCCCAAATTGTAAATTTCTGGCCGTAGTAATTTCAACTGATTACAATACGAGTTTTTTGGACTGAATTTGTGGGATGATGTATGTGCTTAAAGTTCCTAAAATTAGTTAAGATTGTTTCTGAAACCGTAAATAGCTGAATCGATTAGAAGAGTATATATCTGTTACAGATAACGGTAAAGTTAAGCTTCAAAGTTAAGTCTCAAATCCTTTTAAAATAAGTTGACAACTTTGGTAAATTTTAATTTTTGTTCTCGACTAATTGATATTTCTTCAGACCCGACGTACCAGACAGATTTTTGCATGTTTTAACGTTGAAATATAAACCTTTTACAATCACAACGTCGTCAGTGAAAAAAATAAGCGTTGGTTTTGTACGTTAAAGGAGATAGAGTTGTATCACTTCCTTTGAGGTTTAATGACTCTAAGATGTTCGAATGTCAACCATTAGTTTCTGTCCCTGAGTATAACTAATGACCAGCCAGATTTATAATTATCTCTTTTAGGTAGTTAAAAAGGCTGATGATATCAAAAAGATTTTAAAATCAGAAATAAGGATTAATAAAGTTCTCATCGAATATATATATCTGTTCATGGAGCTCCATATATCTCTGAAACCGTATAATAGTTTCCGTGCATAAATCTTAGATTGACCGTTACATTTGATGTATGATTTCATCGCGTATTCATATCGACACGCTTAATAATGCTGTTTCTTTTGATAAGGATTAGAATTGCAAAACGTTAGTTTTATACCTCAATATCACAAAGATCATTGATTTTTCGTATACTTGTAAGCTTTTAAGTTGTAAATGAATAATTGTTTCCTATTCAAATCAGTAATCATTACAATCGTCATGATTTGGCAACTTGGGCTAACACACACATGTGTGCCAAGTTTTACTTTGATTCTGACCAACTAAATGTGATCAGCATCTGGCTTTTGCTATTTATTGCGGGGTGTAATTTCTCGTTTTATTGATTGTATATTCCCCGTACCTTACCTCCGTCTCCAAAACCTTCCCATCCTCTCACTGATTAACAGCCATATAGTGTAGCGCAGATTTTTTCCATTTAGGTGCTTTTTATAATTTCATTTTTATCAGAGTGGTATTCCAGTTCTAATGTGTTTTGCACTTATTTTTGGCAATATAGGTAACCAACCAACTGCTACTTCGATAAGTATATCTACATCTGCTAAACCCAATACTGCATCACGTCGTGCAGCACCACCGGTCACTCGTCCTAATACAGCGCCCAGTGGCACTGGACAAGCTACTTCCGAATGTGCTACTAAAACACCAACCTTAGGGCCATCTAGTAAGAAATCGACAGCACGTACAAAATCTGTTGTTGAGAAACCGAAATCCACGATTCCAACAGAAAACTTGTTAACAGAGGATGAAATATCTCAGAAAGCTTCTGAGTGAGTTGTTACTAGTATCAGTCACTTTATTTTCTTCGATATCTTATGCCAAATATTATATGGTTTTTATGAGCTAAATTTTGTAATGATTACGAAAAGATTCCCAGGAATCTGACTAGTGATTACCATTATGTTATCCTGTTATAACATTTTGTTACAAAGCTGCACAGAAAACAGGTTGATAATGGATATAGAAAAAAACGGAGTAAGTGGACCATTATTGAACATCAGGTTCCGATACATTTTTCAGGGGTTTACGTATTCGCTTTGTGACTTGTTTTGGTTGGATACTTAATGATAATCATAGACTCATTCACCAACAATTTGATTGTGAACGCTAATGATATCACCCAGTTTGACCGAACCGAATTAGATTGAATGGGGTTCTAATTGGGAACTTAGTAGCCGGAAGTCGAACATCTTAACCACTAGGCCTACCTCTTTACTGCCATGTCAGAACTTGTGGATGTAGAGTCTAGAAGTTTGGGTCAGGTAAGTAAAAATTAGATGATGAAGAATGAACCAAAAGGTTCAGTGATCGATAATAAAGAAATACTTCTTAGCTGCTGATGATTTGCTTGAACGGTACTCTTTGGAATTTAGTATTTTCTTCTCTTCGTTATTAAAGCTCCATAAACAAACGTTCCAGCCAACATTGTTAAATAAATTTACTTCGTTCTAAGCATCGACTGACAGAAAGAAATAGACATATTTTAACGATTTCCATAAATATGTGTCTACTGTTTCTGTACCCAGTTCAACTCTCATTTCTGTACAACGCCACATCGTCTATTTGAACGCGCGCCTCAGGCACTAATAAATTAAGCTCACGTATCAACAGGTAATTATTAGGCACATATCGTGCGTTGATTGCCGCTTTTTACGAAATCTCTCCCTATTAAGTCTGGAAGGGTTAATTAATAATTTTAATGGATGAATTCATCCTCTGTAAACTAAATATATTTGTTTAGACTATATGTGGTGTTTTTGGTTATTTTAGATGATTATTTGAATGGAAAATTCAAAAAATCTTTTCCTTGACCGTAATTTCTGATTGAATGTGTTTTAGGCTTCTTGGGGAAGCACTTATCAAGCAAATATCCGATACGAATTGGAAAGAACGCTTGCAAGCGGTTGAACAAATGAAGTCTAACATACATTCCTTTATCAGCTCTGATGTACCTGTTCAAATTTTGTGTCGGGCTGTTCTGCTTAAACCTGGAATCAAGGATACTAATTTTCAGGTACTTAGTTGTGTTTTGAGTGAAATCATTTTTGTCGGTTTTTAAGTGACAATTTATGTCAAATAATTTTGGTATGTTTACTATCATGGCTTCATCGGTGTGCAACACCTATGAAGTTCTAGAGTCTTCAACAATCAAACCCATAATCGTTTACTCATGGTTTTCCAACCCCCATAACATCGACTTTCTAAATTGCGTTGGTGTTTCTTGATAGTACTACAAGTTTTAAAGTCCTTTGTAGTAGCCTGGTAGGCTACTTCGATCTCAGAGGCAACCGTTAATATAAAAAAGAAATCGAGCGAATATATTTACCATCAGTTTTATACCTGTTCTCATTGGTCAATTAGAACGAACTAAAACCTGAATTTTTAATATTGTATTTCAGTTTACCATGTGCTAGATACAACTGTGTGACTTAATCAACAGGAAAACTGTAAAAGACCGCAAAATTATTCGTTTATAAATAATAATTGCCCATTGAATTAAAAGATTGAAAATCAATACATCTCTGTTTATCTATTCGGTTTTACTTTATATTCCAAAATAATGTTCATCATAACATTAGGTGTAGAAATATGTTCGAAATAATCTCAATGATTGCAGGTAATATAATTCCAGCGTTTCACCTGATTATTTGGTCCAAAATTCTTCAGGAAAATAGTCGAAACTAAAGATGAATAACGTCTGATATAAGTATATACGAATTGTAGTTGCTGACAGTAGAATTTAGGACTCGCATATCGTCATATATAGGACTCGTCATCTTGATGTACCTGGGGTTTGGACACATTTCCTTTTCCTACAAACTCCAGTGCGTTATCTATTGAGTCCAGACAGTCACTAACTTCTAAGCATGGATATGATGTCCACATGACCGTTGCTGCTACCTTGACGTGATGGTCCGACTTGCCTATCGTGGTGAACCAATCGGGATATACTGGCTGGGACAATCGTTCTTTAATATCCTACCATGGCAGACAAGTCGGTTGAAGAGCGGTAAGACTAAGAGCAGCAAACCCAAGGTCCAAGGGCGAAGTCGTACTGCTGACTGTACAGAGGTGTGACAGCAGTATGGTGTTTCCTTCAGACAACCAGCATCTACAGCGATGCTGTCTTCCCACAAGGAGGGGTGGGGTTAGAAAAGGTCGACCCTAAAAATGAACACCTTGCCTTAATCCCACGGATATCCGTCTCTCGGCGGTAAGGTATCAACAAGTACGAAGCTAACACAAAAGTTACAGAAAAGTCTTGTGTGACTGACCTCAAACGGTTGTCCCTTGGGCACTGCGGTCACGCTCTCAGGTTACTGAGACCAACTCTAACCCGATTTCCTTTTCAGGTATTATTATTATTTAAACACATAAATATTGGTACAAGAAAGCACCAGATACATATTCGCCGCACAAATCTCATTCGATTTATGTGAGGGCTGTGATACCGACCGGGTGCCCAAACTGAAGCAGGTGGTTTTCTCAGGGGGCCACACCCGGAGCCTTTGACCTAAAAATCTGATCCATAAGGCAGTGGAGCATCGTGAGGAGATGCATCCCCATGGTGGCCGGTGACCAATAATTGGTTCATGCGCCATTTGTTCCTTCAGGATGCTGGAGCCCAATGTGCACCGTTGGTTTGGAATCAAGGTTTTCCGATTCCCCTAGGTGGACTTTCCGTGTCAACCAACCGGTATAAGCGCCGGACATTCACTTTTCGTAAACAACGTCCCTGCCACGAGAAAGCAGTGAGTAGGACTTCCCTGGCAGAGGCTATATACACATGGCCATGTGAGAGCATTTGGAGAGGTAGAGCGGACTCTCCTCACTCTCGGCCATACCAGGGCATTTGGGGGCTCATTTTCAGGTACCTCTAGAAGAACCCTCCCACGGTGTGGGCAACCGGGAAGTGATAACTGCCTTCATACCTCTAACATCACTCGAGATCACTGTATTCATAATCAATCTCCCTCTTCAATTCCTATTATTCCTCCTGTCTTGACTTTCAACTCTAAACTTCCTTATTTGACGTCTTCCTCAAGTATCACCATGACCAACGATTCTAGTGCGCAAAACACTGTCTACTGAAACCTCACTCCAAACTACACATTAGAGCCTTCAACGTACACACTCTATGTCAAATCGGCCATCAGGCCTCCCTGGCTAAAACCCTAGGATCTCGTGCGATTGATGTATGCTGTGTTTCCGATACACATATACCGGATCCTAGTGTGGTCATTCACTTGACCTCACCTCATCCCGACCGTTGCTGCTACCTTGACGTGGTGGTCGGGCTTGCCTATCGTGATGAAGCAGTCGAGCTATGCTGGCTGGAACAATCGTTCCTCGAGGTCCTACCATGCCAGACAGGTCGGTTGAAGAGCGACAAGTCTAAAAGCAGCAATCCCAAGGTCCGAGGGCGAAGTCGTACTGCCGACTGTACAGAGGTGTGACGGCAGTATGGTGTTTCCTTCAGACAACCAGCATCTACAGCGATGCTGCCTTCCCACAAAGAGGGGTGGGGTTAGAAAAGGTCGACCCTAAAAATGCACACCTCACCTTATCCCACTGATTTCCGTCTCTCGGCGGTAAGGTCCTTTGAAGAACGGAGCTAACACTTCAAAAATCCCCCACAAAAAGGCCGTGCATGACCGGCCTCAAGCAGTTGTCCCTTGGGCACTGCGGTCACGCTCTCAGGTCGTTAAGACCAACACTAATCCAACTTCTTTTTCAGGTCCCCCAAGAAATACCCTTCCACGGTGTGGGCAGCCAGGAAGTGATAAATGCCCTCATACCCGTAACAGCACAGGAGACCAAGTTAGTCACATTCAAATCCTTCCTATACCTCCTAACAACTCTCTTATCTTATCACCTCGCCAAAACGGAAAGCGGACGAGATACACCCTCCGTTTATCTGGCGACCCGATGGCTAGTTCTCGTAGACTGGCGGGTGTATGCATATCACTTAGTACGAGGGCAGAACAGGTACTTTTAGAATGGATTTCCATTTACAGTCCCTTATTTGCTGTTCGGCTAAACGGCTCTGTAAGAACTCGAAAGGGTAGGGACACACGTCGTTTCTGTGACGCATATATATCTAATGCCCCCTTGTATTAATATTTATGTGTTCTGCACACGCTCCCACTAACTGCAGCCCGGATGAAGTGAAAGATGACTTTTACACATAGATTTCTGAACTTCAGAAAGCTAAACTCCCAAAAATAGTACTCGTAGCAGGTGACTTTAATGCCCAAGTAGGTAGCTTAAACCAAACAGAAAGACATTTAGGTGGGTATTTTCTTTTTCCGGCTAAGCGAACAGATAATGGTGATCGTCTGTTGCAACTGTGCTCAGACAACCGTTTATTTTAGCAAACACTAATTTCAAGCATAAGAAGAGCTGTTTTCTAACATGGCGACCCCCTGCACTAAACCAACGATGGGCTTATATAGAGCATATTGCCATTAGTCATCGCTGGAGAGGCTCGATAGAAGACCTGCTTGTTCTGAAATACATGTTGAGACTCTGATCATGCTCTAATATGAGCACGCATTTGCTTGCGCCTCACTGGACGAAGAGAAGCCACATTAAGAAGATCCATTAGAGTCGAACTCAGTGATGAGAAAGCCAAAGATAAATTCTAGGAACAACTGAAGTCACACATGGGCGATTTCGAAGACGAGGCGGACCCAGATGTTTCTTGGGAAGACATTAAAACAACTGTGGAAACAGCAGAGACATCTATTAGTGATCTGAACCAAATGGTTTATTGCACTGATAGATTTCCGTAAACTCATCCCATCGGACTCTGAACATAATGACGAGCGAAAGAAAATCAGATTTAGGTTAATTAAAAGTCTAAGGAACGACCGTGAGCAGTGGTGGGCAACGAAAGCAAAAGAGATGAAAAAGGCAGCGGCTGTAGTTAACACTAGACAGCTTTTCAGACTAATAAAAGAAACTGTTTGAGTTTATGAGTATTTATTCGTAGGAAATAGCATATTTGGATTAACATAAATTTTATGTAGGATTTGACACTATCCGGAAGCCCATGTCTAAATAGAAAGCCATTGTCAAGGAACCACTAAAGACTTAATCTATGAGGTAGTACCAGGCGAAGCAACACTATGGTGGTCTGGAGTCGTCGTAGGTTGACAAAAAACTCATTTTGTTAAGATGTTGAAGTTCAAATAGCTATAGCTAATCTGAAACAAGGAAGAGTAGATGGATTGGCTCCAAAAGTCTTTAAGTATGGTGGTCCAATTTCAGCAATTAGGTTGATTAATATTTTGACTAAAATCTGGGAGACGGACGTAATCCCATCTGACTGGTCACAATCATTGATTGTCCCAATATATAAAAAAGGGTCAAAATCATCCTGTGATAACCATAGAGGGATTAGTCTGACTAACATAGCATCTAAAATACTAGCCTCAATAATTATCAGGCGCCTAAGACTCGTGAACTGCAAACACGAGAAAGTCAGGCTGACTTCAGACCTGGTCGTGGCTGCATCGACCACATATTCACCATTCGTCAGGTTTTAGAACATAAACATGCTTATCGGCGTCCGACAATGATAGCTTTTCTTGACTTAAAAGCAGCATTTGACTCTGTAAACCGGGAGGTTCTGTGGCAGCGTCTGTCATTGACAGGTGTACCTCAGAAGTACATAAACCTTGTGAAAGCTCTTTATTCGAGCACTACCAGTTAGGTCAGAGCTTTGCAACCTCAAGTGGTGACCTGCAAGGTTGTCCACTGTCTCCATTTTTCTTTAACCTACTGCTGGAAATAACGTTCTCGTCGACTGAATTTTGAGGAAGTGATCTCCTTCCGGGAGGTCCACTTATCGACTTAAAATATGCAGATGACATAATCTTGTTTTGTGATGACGCTGATAAAATGCAGATTTATTTATTTAAACACATACATATTGGTACAAAAGGGCACCAGATGCATGTGCACCACACAAAATAATGAGATTGGGAGAAGAAATGGGGAAGATGCGTATACATAAGGAAGAAAAAAGGATGAAAAAGAAAAGGTAAGAGAAGAGTAATGGTGGGGGAACTGAAATGCACTGAACAACCATTGGATGATGTTCGGGACTTCTCGACTGTGAGTATTCGGATGATATTGTCTGTGCCATAATACTATGCCATGCAGTCCGCACTTAATCAGTTGACAATCTATGTCTGTAGGTGTTGTATGTGCTTCGCACCTTCTAAGTGCAAAGTTCTTTTACAAGACTGGCAGGACCCTGATCCTGTACTCACCCTGGGCAGTGAGCAGATTGAAAATGTCGAGAAGTTCGTGTATCTACGTAGTTACATAAATGCTGGTGGTGGCGTGAGTGATGAGATCAATTCACGTATAACGAAAGTCAGAGCGACTTATGCCAATCTGGCTAATTTTAGCGCCTTCGTGATGTTAGTCTGGCTGTTAAAGGTCGGGTCTACAACGCGTCGTTGAGAGCAGTTTTGCTCTATGCTTGTGAAGCCTGGCCTCTCCGAGTTGAGGATGTTAGACGTCTCTCTGTGTTCGATCATCGTTGTCTCCGAAGGATTGCTGACATCCAGTGGCAATACCATGTTAGTGGTGCAACGATCGGCATCGTGTGTTGGGGCGCAGAGACGATCATTCAATTGGTGTCACTATGTTGAAACATCGACTTCGGTGACCTGGAAATGTTCTGCGAATGTCGTTCAGAGTTTTCCACGTCGTGCATTACTCGCCGATGCCTGAACTGGTTGGAAAAAGCGGAGAGGAGGTCAGTGTATGACATGGGGTAGTGGTATGAAAAAAGGTGTGCAGGACTGGCTTCCGTCGGTCCTTCCCAACTCCCTGTTTGGGGTTCTAGAGATGGTGCTATACAGTGGCTAGAGATGTTGTCAGATATGGCTCAGAATAGAAGCCAGTGGCGATCCTGCTGCAACCTTCTTTTACTTTGGCATGCGTCAAGACCTGAACTAAGGATAGGAAGTGAAGTAGTCGAACGCGTCAACAACTTCACCGAACTTGGAAGTCTGATCAGCCCTAATGGGTTGGTGTGTGACGAAATCTCAGCACGGATTTAAAAAGCTCTTTTGGCTTTCACCAACTTACGTCACCTATGGCGAAGACGAGATATCCGTCTATCAATTAAGGGACGAGTATATTGCGCAGCAGTTCGCATTGTTCTACTTTACGGATGTGAAACATGGCCATTAAGAGTAGAGGATACACCGATTACTACGACGCGCTATGCTGACTAGTATTACGGATGGTTTGAAGAAAGTTAATGGGGGCGGCATACCAAAACGTGGTATCAGAGCTTGAATTCACTAACTTCTAGTCTGAGCCATGTTGGTAGATTCAGAATACTTGGTTGGGGTCCGCGTGACTATCGTAACCAATGGTTGGAGACTCTAGGTGACATGGCTCAGAATCGATCACAATGGCGTAGGTGTATACACTCTTTATCTTCCTTTAAACCTTGAGACTAAAATTGCTTCATATCTCTCTTCCTTCCTGTACTATATCCTTATATACAACCTATAATTTATATACTACTACCACCAGTAAATTAATTACTTCTATGAATCCGGTGTTCATCTTGTTGTGTTAACGAGGTATGGCGACTTGGACCGATGCATATGTGTGCCTGGTCCTACGTTGTAGCCGACTGACTTCTTTTACTTTCCTCATAAAAGTGGCCGTAACTTCTTTGACTGAAAGAATTCTTTCTGTTTGTACCTTTCTGTTTCTCCCATTACTATTATTTTTTTTCACTATCATACACTAATCTGTGGTTGTTATTGTTCTTTTGTTTCTTATTATTATTATTATTATTATTATTAGCTTGATTCAATATTATATTATTTGGTACAAAATCGAATTCTCAGCATAAAGTATTTCAACATATTTACGTTTCTTATTTCTTCGTTGCTCCTGATGATAAACATTCAGTGATCGCCAGTTGGATGTCAGAAGTTCAGTCAATCGACATATGAATAATGTATATCCTTTTTTGCTGCATGTTCCCAGCAAACACGACATCTCTGATTAGACCTTTTCTAACTTTTACAGCGAAAGGTTGTACAGTTTTCAGAAACGCACCGGAATAGGTTGTGTGCTTAATAGCCATAATGATGTATTAAAACAAACAATATTAGATAACTTGTTGAAATATATAGATGACGGGAAACAGGTAGCCCAGATGTTTAAGCATCTTACCTTCTTTTTCTCTTCCCATTCTCATTGTTTTGTGTGGTGAATATGTATCTGGTGCCCCCTTGTACCAATGTTTATGTGTTCAAATAAATAAATAAATTCTTCCTGTATTATATACTTATGCATGATCTTTCTTTTACATAATACTACCATACGAAGTAACTGTTTGTATGAACTCGCTGCTCATCTTGTTGTGTTAATAATGTGTGGCAACTTGGACCGATGCACATATATGTTAGGTTCTACGCTGTTTACAACTGGCTGATTGAAGTATTTAGAATTATACAGTAAAATGTATTATTCAGTTGGCATTAATTTTTTTTAATAGTCATTCAGCACATGTAACATAGAAATACCCATAAAATGCCCATCCATTATTGGTTATTGTAGAGCATGATAACTTCATCACGACAGACAGATATTATTCTCGGTAATTATTAGAATGCAGTATAGTTTTATTTATTTAAACACATGAATATTGGTACAAGGGGGCACCAGATATATATGCGCCACATAAATCTCATTTGATTTGTGTAAAGGCTGTGATACTGCCCAGGTGCCCAACCCGAAGCAGGTGGTTTTCTTACGGTGACACACCCTTAGTCTTTGACTTAATGATCTGATCCACGAGGCAGTGAAGCATCGTAAGGAAATGCAGTCCCATGGTACTCGGTGACCAACGGTTGATTCGTACGCCATTTGTTCCTTCAGGATCCTGGAGTCCATGTCGGGGTTTTATTCTTCTTTTGTTTCTCATACGCATCTTACCTTCTTTTTTTCTTCCCATTCTCATTGTTTTGTGTGGTGAATATGTATCTGGTGCCCCCTTGTACCAATATTTGTGTTCAAATAAATAAATAAATTCTTCCTGTATTATATCCTTATGCATGATCTTTCTTTTGCATATTACTCCCATTGAAGTAACTGTTTGTATGAACTTGCTGCTCATCTTGTTGTGCTAATGTGTGGCAGCTTGGATCGATGGATGTTTGTCCTTGGTCCTACATTGTAGCTGACTGACTGCAACATGCAGATGTATGTATCTGTATATTTTATTTATTAAAAATGGAGAAAAAGAGAAGTCTTTTTCTACTACTAGGTTTATATTAGCCGTCTTGATTATTATAAAACTAAAAGTACATTTGGGTATATTAAATATACATACACACACCTCCGTATATCCCTTTCCGAATTTATTTCACACCAAATGACTCACATTGTTACCATACACAAGATCAACGTTCGATCATGATTGAGCAAGCAGATAGTATAGACTTATTTTACACCCTATTTATCGTTGATTATTCTCTTGTGGAAGCTTAGACCAGACTGTCGGGCGAAACGTTGCAATTATTAAATTGAACGAAATATCTGTTCGGTGACTCCTGGTTTTTGTTGTTAATCTAACTAAAATCATTCTTCCATGAAAGCTATAATAATGCAGTTATCTCCACGAACACCTGTAGAGATAATAAAAGGTTGAAAACTGATAGAATCCTTCCCCAAAATCAAATCAAACTTCTGAATTAACCTAATGATTATATCTTGAAGACAATTTGCCAATAAATTTTGTGAGAATTCCATTGATTTTGCATTATTGGTACAAAATAATATGCCTGTGTAATCTGTCATCTGAAAACTTAAGTGTACAAAGTTTTACACATTCAAATTTTTTTATTCCTGTAATCGTTATGTAATGAGTTTCTCCATACTAAAGTTATTTGTTGCGGTGTAAATTGAAATATGTTTTTGCACTAATACACATGAGTTGTGATCGTGTATTGATGTTTTGTAAACGGCGTACTTTCATTACACTGGGATTTTACATTTTTGGCTGGTTTTTCTTGCATTAATTTACATTATTTTACAGAATCAGGAGTCATATTTTATAAATTTGAAGTGTCACCACTATTACATAGAGTAGGTAGAAGTACTTTCTAAAGTGCATGTGAGGGGTTAACTTTTCACCGTCATGGACATGGCGACAAATTGTTTCTTGAGAAACTGAAATGGAAACCCAAAATGACTGCAACTTAAGCGACATCTTTTCAAGGGCAATCACATATAACCATTCTCTTTTGCATGCTGTACTGTTTCTATCAACAGATTGATAGTCATACTTGAACTTCAGCAACAATCATGTACACATCAACGTAGTAAAAAGCTTGGACTAGATTGCCAAGCGAAACGTTGGATTTACTTCCTATTTAATATCTTACATCAACTCGGCGCACAAATATTGTAAAACTATTCGCTCTAATTTAGACGAAATTTCTTATATAAATAGTAGTATTGTTATGCAAAGTTTCCGAAGTGTAATTTCGGACTCACGAGCTGACGTTTGGTTTTTTATCTACAACTGACAAATTTTCACAATCATACATGTTAAAGATTAACCATGTAATCAGGTATTCTTGTACTTATGTGTGCATTAATCTGACTTTTCCTTCATTAATCAAGGTACTGCGTGCTCGAATTGAGTACATCAATGAAGTTTTGTCCTTAAGCATCTCTATCAGTTCAAATTTGGCTGAGTTACTTTTACCAGATTTGATTGATAAGGTTGGTGACACGAAAGTCGGTGACGTCACAAAAACCGCGATGACAAAATTGGCCGAGAAAACAAGTCTCGAATTAGTTGGTGGCTTTGTAATGCGCACACTATTTCAGATTAAAAATCCTCGCAGTCAGACCGAAGGTTTGGTTTGGTTGAATCAAAGCATTCTGGAATTCGGATTTTGGTATGTTTTTTGTATACGTGATTGTCTATATTTACTGATGGAAAATCTCTTCACAAGTTAAAAATTATTATTTTGATGCTCACGAAATAACTACTGTCCACTTCTCAATCTGCTTAAATTGTTATCATTAACTACAACTAATTCTTAATATAACAGAGTGATCACAAATCCTGTTTCATCGAAACGATATATTAGATTGGATAATCCAGTAGACTGATTACTCGGTCGATGCATACTGTACGATGTTATTAAACCATTAGACTAGATCGCTGTATATACAAGTACATGAGAGAACCTGATTACAGCTCGAACGATAGTTTTATCAGCACATATAAACAGTCCACCTGTTACGAAATCCTGAGTATAAGTGAATCGTTTACCCATAACAGTAGCGTTTATAGTTGGCACTCGTATATCTTTTCTCAGCGGCCAGCGGTATCTTACTTTCACTACGTACATATCAGTTCTGTTTGCCTTTTTATCGTTGTAGTGTGTGATAATTCTGTTCGCTGCTACACGATCCGAACTTGTATTTAAAAGTTCAATATACGGTTTCGTTCTACATAGTTTTGTTAGGCTTATCGTAAAGTATATTAACCCTTCTCCAACTTTTCGTGCAAAACGAAGGTATAAATGTTCCAATATATCTATTCGTTGCTTCAAATTCTAAATTCTAAAGCGAATGTCCGGCGCTTTAACCGTGTTGGTGGACAAGGCGAGTCCACCTAGGGGAGTTGGAAAACCCTGATTCCAAACCAATGGTGCACATGGGCTCCAGTATCCTGAAGGAACAAATGGCGTACGAATCAATCGTTGATCACCGGCTACCATGGGACTGCATCTCCTCACGATGTTCCACTGTCTTGTGGATCAGATCTTTCGGTCGAAGGCTCCGGGTGTGGCCCCCTGAGAAAACCACCTGCTTCAGTTCGGGCACCTGGGCAGTATCACAGCCCTCAAGCAAATCGAATGAGATTTGTGCGGCGCATATGTATCTGGTGCTTCCTTGTACCAATATTTATGTGTTTAAATAAATAAAAATAATTACATATCAGTCGCCAATAAACGCATAAAACGAAACGGTTTGAAGGATGCGAAACAAATAATAACATGCACACCTTCGAAACAAGGACTATGGAATCTAAAAGGGATTTTGAGTTGGTATCGTAGAATATAGTAGTCATGTAACATATCATTTTTTAAGATGGCAGAAAATGAATCTATGACTGGTCCATAATTCTTAATCCACTTTTACTTACGGGTTTCGTTTCATGACAATAATTATCTAATATGAAGGATCTTCTCCAACTCAATATTGCAATCATATAATAGATAATGACTGAAAGTTTACCACATTGACTTGTGAATTGGCTTTGGAATTGGATTTCTGTTATAATTACTTGAATCTTGCTTGAGTTTCGCAATTTTTCCAGCACATTCTGCTCTTTCTACTTGTGCTTGGTAATTTAAGGCACAGTTAGTGTTCTGATTTATCTTAAGTGTAATTTTTTTATTCCATGATGTCCATGATATAAATAACCGAATTTTCTTACCGAATTAGTCGTAGATGCTTCATGAATTTGTTTAATTTATTCAGTATTCCAGCACAAGAAGTTGGGCCACTTCTAAAAACAGGCCTAAATGCAACTAACCCTTCTGTTCGACAAAGTTCACTAAATCTTGCTGGGACTATTCATTTATATCTTAATGATCGTTTGGTAACTTTATTAGCGGATGAAAAGCCGGCTTTGATTACGTTACTAAACGCGGAATTTGCAAAAAACAAAGATAAAAAGGCTCCTGCTCCAACTCGTTTTTCTGCTGCTCAGAACTTGCTCAAAGATTCAGTGTCTACTGAACCCAGTGGAACTGGAACATTGTCTGGAGATATAGAAACTACTGGTCAAATAGAGGAGATGGACTCTGATGCATTACTTCCAAAAGTAGATATCAGGTATTAGTTGATATGTCTTATATCGTTTCTGCAGCTTAACTGATTTATTAGCTTTTACGGACATTCCTAGTCGACAGAAAAGTTTTTCTTGTCATTATTTTTTACGTTTTGAGTTTTTTTTTACAATATTTTATAAATACATGTGTTTCCCTTTACGCATTATGTTTCACATATTATCTTAGTATATGTACGAAATCCAAACTATATGGTTTTTATTGTGTAAATTAATATTTACTGACTCCAACCATTAATAATCCCGGTTCACTTCTCATATTTTTTAAAACCAAATCCCCACGTATAACGTACATAGCCGAAATGTGGGTTGTATATAGGGATAAATGAGGATGGTGTAGAGCGACTATGTTATCGAGATGGTGGAGAAGATTTGTAGCTCGGGTGGGTGGTTGTGACTATGTTATCATGTGATTGCTGATTGAATAGAATTCTCCATCTAACACACTTGGAGTTGAATGCTTAAATTAAACTAGTGGAGACCTTAACTTAGCATAGATCATTCGGAATCACCTTCACTGCCATCTGACTTCAATTACGCGCATTTTTGTCGTATCTATGCTGTTAAGTGTCCGCTATTCATACTCCACTTTCTTTTTTAGTGACCGATTTACACCTGAACTCCTGGGTCTTCTGAAAAGCAAGATCTGGAAAGAACGTCTAGAAGCACTGACTACTATTGAAAAATTTGTGACTCCTTCCAATTTGATTGATGCTTCGAACGGAAAGCTTCAAGAACCTTTGACTATGATAGCTAAGGCAGCTAATGATGTGAATAAAAACCTGGCTAAACAAGCTTTAATAATCCTGTCTTCCTTTGCTTCTTCAATGCCGAAATCGGATGCTGTGAATTACATAAAGTAAATATATGTTTTGATTTTTTTCTCCATTTTTAAAAATTATATTCATCTTTTCCCTTTTTTCCCCCATTTGTATTTGACTTTGAAAGCTGCTACTACTACACTGTAATTTTAAGTTACTTAATATAGCAACTAATTGTGACTCATACCATACCGTAATCACTAGTATTAAGTTATTGGTCAGGCTTAGGGTTTTTAGGTGCCCTGTTTTGTCACACTATCCCAACACAAGACTAATCATCTGTATAAGAAATAAATCTCAAGGCTGTACTGTAAGTTTTATTGCTAAAATCTGACTGATTTTGTTTACAGCTAATCCATATTCTAGGTTGCCAGGCTGCTTCATGCAGTTTTTTCTTCGTTTTATATCTGCAGTGTATTTTTGCGAACGCTAACAGAAAAAAAAACAAGATTTTGTTACAACCTTTACTAGTTTCCACGATAATTTTATCGTCGTGTTGGATTTGCAGTGTCTTAATTCAGTGACATCTAAGCTCATCTAATAATAGAAACTAATGTTTTCATAATTTAACCGCTGCTGTCACAGGTCAAATCCAATTTACATCTGTTAAATAAACAAATAGTTCATACTACAGTTTATTGAAAGTTGCCTATAATTTTTTTTCATTGTTATTTTTATCTTATTGTCTACTGCATTTTATTACAGAATGTAGTCATTTATATTTTGCACGATAATTATAAATAATCGTCAATTTGCTGATGTATGATATTTGTTTTCACCTTTGATTAATTTGTCTGTTTTCTGACAAATCACTTTATCTTATTTCGATATTTTACATGTAAAAGACAGTTCTAGTTTCCTTATCTATTCAATCAGTTGGGCAGTAGGTTGCCGGTGACTTCCATAGAGATATCACCACTGACGTCTTCATTCATGCCAGAGTTTCATCGATCAATTGTTTCGTCATAACTGTATCATGTATACAAGTGAACTTTTTGTTAAACAGAGTAAATACAGTGATATAGATCACAGTTCACTTTTTCTATCATATATATTTATTTATTCTACATATTTGTTTACTAATTTTAATACTTTCTATAATTATTATTACGTAATTGGAAAAAGGGTATGATTTATGGCAACACACTACTTTGTATGATATCAAGAAAATTGTATTCATCTGTTTATTATTTTATATTTGCATTTTTTAATCCACACCTCGTTCTACATTCAGTTTACTTTTGAAAATACTTAAGTATATAGTTGTAATCTTGATTAATTCTATGCTCTGAAATAGAAGGGAATAAAAAAATGTATGCTAGTAAACAGCTGTTTAAGAACACTTGATCTCTCATTCAGTAATATGTATGTTTACAAGTATTCAAAAATAGTATAACTTACTTTTGTCGATTTGTGTTGTACGTATCTGTCTTTGATCATATCTAATATTGACGGGATTTTCAAATAAATGAAATGCACTCATTAAGACGGAGACAGAAAAGATATGTTCAACCAAGAGTTCTCTTTTTGGCGGATTCATTCTCAAAACAGTATAATCGTAGTTATGCACTTTCTCTGCAATAATAATCAGTAATTTTTTGGTAAAAAAAAAACAACCTGTTGTGCACAGTAACAAAATCGCAGAAATAATTTTGTTCTTAGTAAGGAAGTAAAAGTTTGGTTATTAAAATCTTGAAGACGGATAACGATTAATAATAGTGGAATGAATTTGGTAACGTGATAAGATAAAATGTTAAAGTTAAGAAATTTTTACCACAGATTGTTATTGTGAACTATGCTAAAGCGTACTGTACATAGCTTTTTGAGTTCTACTAACTGATAGCAAATCAAAAATTTTATTACGTTATTTAAGACTGATGAAGTAAAATGGTTTATCTTATCCCAAAATTAATAGATAAGATCGGTTGAAACATATCTGTACGTCTTAAATTTAGCTGTACTCACTCTGATTCTGCAAAACCGGAATTACTGTTTCGTAATTCAGCAATCCGTTTAACTAGCAGTTTAACTGAGAGAAATACGAATTGATACCAAACTTTTCGAATTTCAATAACATTTGTTTGTAATAAGCACGCGAATCTTCATTTAAAATACTTTCTTAGATGTGTTCAGTTTTCCTATAAATATTTTATTAATTTATTAACCAATCGATCTATTTTCTAGGTATGTTGAACCACCTATTTTACTCTGTCTTGGCGATTCAAAAGTTCAAATACGTGAGGCAGCTGTAACTGCACTTAGCTCTTGGCAAAGTAGAGTTCCTATTTTATCAGTATTTGAGAATGACATGTTAGCTGATGCTTTAAAAGTAATTATATTTTTATGTACCTTTTTTTGAAAATAACCTGTGCAAATTTCTATTGAAACATTAATTACTGTTCACAGTTACTCGTCACCAATACATGTATACTTAAACTAATACATAAAAATATGAATGCTGACTGAAGTTATATTTGTGAACTAAACTGGATCCCTGAGTCATTATAAGTGTGTGTGAAATGAAAGATTGCTTATTAGATTTTAGACTAAGATAATAAAATTTTAATGGCTCGTTAAATTGTTCGTTATTGGTTTTTAAGATAATCATTCATAACGTTTTATTCTGTGTAAGTCTGGCTCATAATCTTCTAAACTCTATGTTCATATTTCTATTTATTTACTATGTAGATGGAAAATCCATTTTTACGAGCCGAATTATTACGTTGGCTTCAAGAAGTTCTCTCACCTATGCCATTAAACGCCCTGCGGAAAAACGCTTCAGAAATAACAGAGAATCTAATACCTCAAGTGTTCGCTTCTCTTGAAGATCGTAATGTTGAAGCTCGTAAACAAGCCCAAATAGTTCTTCCTTCATTAATACAAGTTTTTGGCTGGGAACCTATTTTAAAGTCTGCCAATCGTTTGAAGCCTACCTCAAAGGATTCAATTATGCCTCATTTAGAGAAAGCTCGTGAAAGTGTAGCTAATTCACATCCCTCATCCGTGGAGAAAAAAACCGTTTCTCCACCTAAAGCGGTACGTGGAGGTAATGGAGCACGTCCACAACTTTCCTCAAATGCCCCAGGTACTACTCTAGGTATTTTTTTTTCATGTATTTGTTACATAAAAATATGAATAAGACGTTCATTCTTCACTGGATTATGTGCTTTATGGAAAAGATTATCTCATCTATTTCATTTCAATCATTAAATTTTAGAAAATAGCGAGGAATCTGAAAATGCTACACAATCTTCAGACATTACCTCAAAGCCTGTTTCTGAGACGAAGAAAAAGACTGATACTAAAAAGTCTATCAACACGTCTAAAAACTCAGGTCCGGAACTGGCAACAACATCCATAATTCTACCACCAAATAAGTTAGCTAAGAGTTCTAGGTTAAATGATGAGAAGAAACGCAAGGTAATTGTTATGTATCTTTTACAAATAATCCTGTTCCATTTTCTGTTTATTGTGTCTATTCCCAAATATGCACATTAAACTATCAACGTATTGAATTTTTATGTATGAAACTTGTAATTTCAAATTGTATTTTGGGTAATATACGTGGATAATATTTCAAGCAAAAATTTGCGATACTCATTGAAAACAATGACTGAGAAAACATAAATAATGTGAATACCTTTTGTACAATCTACGTAGTTAATGACAAATTCGGTTGGATGATTCAGATTGCTGAATGACAGCAAGTCTTTATAGTTACGCAAATTAGACTACTTGAAGTCAAAAAGTATGAAAGCATTCGATTATGTTAAATATTCTGTTTACATATCCACTGCTATCCCTACGAACAAACTAAATAGTTTTAATTAAATAACTTTTTGGTATCCTCTAATAAATGTAAGGTGATTGCTCGATATCATGGATTGGTTGAGGTAAGATATTAACTCCGTTGGATACCGGCTCAGTGGTCTAGACGTTAAGAGTTTGTACTAGACCTAAAGTCCTAAGTGCGTGATCGTGGATCTGCAATGCTGAGGAGTCCCATAGTATGACGAAACGACCGTCCAGTGCTTCCGGGTTTTCGGTGTTGGTATAATATTGATCGGTCCATGATTTCCATGAAATGTATACTACTTTCTGTAAGCTTTTACTTTCCTTTTCGTTTTTCTAAAACTCATTTTTTCTAATTTACAGCTTTTAAAATGGGATTTCGATGCTCCAACAAAAGATCACATACAACAATTAAGTACATTATTCATTGCAGCTGGAACTGCTCCTGAATTTCATGCACTTTTATTCCATACCGACTTTAAACAACACATTAAGGCAATCGAACAACTTTCTCAATTACTAGATACCACTGAAGGTTGTGAGGCTACTGTAATAAATGTGGACATTATCTTGAGATGGATTGTTCTACGATTCTTTGAAACTAATCCAGTTGTTTTAGGCAGATGTAAGTTAATTTGATACTACGAGTATAAATTAAATTATTCTTCACGGGTACCCAAACTACAAAATAAGTTTTAATTAAATTTTCATGGTCATTAATATTCATATTTAATAATTTTATACTCTAAGTTATTCTTTTTTGTATGTAGCTGGTAACGTTCCTATAAAATTGAATGTATGCACAGTTGTTTGATCATTCTGCCAACTATTGACCAACATTTAGATCATCCAAACTATCAACATATCAACCTATATTACTCAACTAGAAGATATATTAATATATGATATTAAATTAGGCAACCATAGGTTGATCAAAAGATAATTGTAACCAGATAAAGATATGAATTCAGTCTACGGAGTCATTGAATGAATACATGAGTTATATGTGAAAGGTACAGACCTCATTCGTAAGGTTCTTTGAATAATGGTTACGCTTTCAGTCAATATACTACAAAATCGTTCGTATTAGCGCAGATAGATTTATTGGTGAGACTATAATTAATGGACAACCTTTGAGCGACTCTAAAGTGACCCTGCGAATGTCCACCTATTAACTGAGACTAAAAGACGGTTATGAAACAGTGCGAGGTATTAGAATTGTGATTTACAACTGGTGGTTATGGTCAGAAATTAGATTTACGGTTTTAATTACGAACTGACATCAGCTAAAATGCAAAAACTCTATTTAGCGAAATGGATGAATGAATTTCGCGCCAAAGTCCGAGACCCGTTATCTTATTTCCGATTGATTCCCCCATAAATTGTTGCTTCGCCAATTTATCCAGTACCTTCGAAATTTAACTCATCATTTACTTTCATTTGTAAACTTTATATTCGTTTTATTTTAGCATTTCTCCATTTTTGTTAGTTTTTCGTTCTATGCTATTACACTCTTGTGGAATATTCTACAACCGTATCTCTGCTTGTATTTGTTCGGTGATACATGTTATAAAGAGTGGTCTAAAATAAGATGTTAATCGGGTCATAAATATTTGAGCTATCGTAATAAATATCACTGAAATATTTGTATGCGCTGTTTCTAAAAATTTGTAACAACTGTTTAGTTCGAATTGTGTTTTATTCTTATTTCCTCTTTCGGACAATACAGGTATGGATTATCTAACAAAATTATTCGTTTATATGTCAGAGTCTGGAGCAAATCTTTCGGAACATGAAGGTGGTTCATTTCTTCCTTATTTGGTAATGAAAGTGGGTGAACCTAAAGATGTAGTTCGACAGAATATTCGAGGGATATTGAAACTAGTGGTTAATCTTTATCCACCTAGTCGTCTATTCACATTTCTCACTAATGGGACTAAGGCCAAGACAAGTAAAACAAGACAAGGTTAGCTTCTTTGTTTATGTACGCTACATACGTAAGCACATATCACGTTTAGTAATCGTTTCTCACAGTTGTTTTATTTTCTTGTTGATTCTTAGTTATTTTTTTTGTTTTAGAGTGCTTGGATGAAATGGGTTCTCTGATTGATCGTTTCGGATTAAATGTTTGCCAGCCTTCTATTCCCATCGCAATCAAATTAATCGCTCAACAAATTGGTGACCGTGATAGTGGAGTTCGATCAGCGGCTTTGAATGCTTTACTTTCTGCGTATTCTGTTATTGGTGAACAGATATGGAAGGTTATCGGCGATGTAAGAGATTTCACTTGTTTCATTTTACTGAGTTGTTAAGTTGATCTTTATTCCACTTGGGAATATTGTGAACGAGCAAACTAATATCTACGATGATTAAACTAGCAATATAATTTTTTCATAAATGAAGTATTTATCAAGAATACCAGTTAACAAATTATTTTGGCTCAGAATCTTACCCCATTCCTCGCTTCACTCTATATTATACTCTTGCATTATTTATTTCAGTTCCCAACTCTACTATATCATTAGGACCATTAAATCTCATATATATATATATATATATATATATATATATATATATATAATTACTTACGCCTGACACCCCTCATGGAGGAGCATAGACTGCCCACCAGCATTCTCCATCTAACTCTGTCCTGGACAACCCTTTTCAGTTGTTTTCAAATGCTATTCTTTCTTTTGATGTCTGCCTTCGATTCCTGTCGTGTTGTGTTCTTTGACCTCACACTTTTTCCTTTACCTTCAGGGTTCCATTACTTTACCAATCATCGTCTTCACACCTACATTTGATCCTCCTTGTTCATCGATGATGCTGACCAAATACGTGAAAGTTTCCATATCTTCCAGAGCTTCTCCATCATGTCAGATTAAGTTGGTGTACTTCGTGTTGTATTTGAGGATCTTGCATTTTGCCTTGTGTATGTTGAGGCCTGCTGATAAAGAGGCTGCTGCTAGACTAGTTGTTTTCATCTGCATTTGTTCGTGTGTATGGGATAGGAGGGTCAGATAATCTACGAAGTTCAAGTCGTCCATTTTATTCCATGCTTACCCTCGGGTGTGGTCTTCATTATTCAATCAACCACCAAAAGAAAGAGGAAAGGTGAGAGCAAGTAGCCTTGTCTGATTCCGGTCCTCACTTGGAATGCATCTGTCAGCTGTACTCCATGCACGACTTTGTAATGTAGTCCGTCGTATGAATTCCGGATGATGTTGACGATCTTCTCAAGTACATAATAGTGTCGAAGAAGTTTCTATAAAGCCTTCCTATCCACACTGCCAAACGCTTTCTCATAGTCAAGCAGGTTAATATATAGTGACGAGTTCCATTCGATTGGTTGTTCAGCAACACTCTGTTGAAAACTTTTCTCGGTATTGACAGTAGTATGATGCCTCTGTAGTTCTCACATTCGCTCAGGTCTCCCTTCTTTGGTATCTTGATGAGATATCCTTCTTCCCAGTCAATCGGCAATTTTTCCTCCTCCCAAATCTTCCTGACTAGAGTGTGGACCATGTTTGTAGTTACCTCTATATCTGACTTCAATGCATCAGCTGGTATATTGTTAGGTCCCTCTGCTTCCCCACTCTTGATTTGTCTGCTGGCCGACCATGATGATTCCCTCGATTGTTGGTGTTTATTGAAGAGTTCTTCAAAGTGTTTTACCCATCTGTTCTTGAATCTCAGTGATTGGCCTGCCGTCTTCATCCTTGGCTGGTCACTCGAGTTTATAATATTTCCCTGCTTGTTTCTTCGTCGTGTCGTATCTCCTCTTGGAACTTGTTTGAATCTTGCTTATGGTATCTATAGATAACTATTCTTTATGATGGTGATTCTTGCAGCCTGGCACTTTGAAGTTTGTGCTTCTTCAATCTCTTTTTAGTAGTTCTCCATAGTAACTTCCTCTTTGAGTAGATCTTGTAAGGCTTCGAACTTCATCCTGCGAGCTACCTGGAATTCGTTGAGTTTGTCAGTATCTTGAAGGAAGGCTGCATTGAACCTTTGTAATGCTATTTCTTCAGTTGTCTGGTGCCTCATCCTGACCACACGAAATTGGTAATCCGGAACTATTCCGGCTCCTCTCTTTCTTCCATTGATCTGAATTTTTTAATCATGCAATTATGATCAACCTGGTTCTCTGTAGTGTGATCCAGTAAGACCCATGTAGCTTTGTGTATGCATGTGTGTGGAATATTGTGCCGCCCATAACCATTTTGTTGAACGCATATAAATATGCAAATCCGTCACCATTTTCGTTTCTTTCTTCAAGTCCATGTTGTCCCATGATATCTTCATAACTGATGTTGTCCATTTGTTTTGATGGTTGTCTTGATAATTGGGCATCCATGAGATTCCCATCCTATTAGTGCCTTTCGTGTTTCTTTGGACAGCAGCATCTCACTCGAATCTATCCTTTTCTCTCCAACTTAGGTCCATCGGGTCTCACTTATTCCGAGCACCATCAAGTTGTATCCCTTCATTTCCGCAGCTATTTGTTTGGCCTTCTCGGTCTCCTACATTGTGCGGACATCCTATGTACCCATATTAATTGTTTCTCTGGTTGTTAGAAGGGGAATCGGTTTCGTGACTTTCGAAGAATCTCAGCTTCAATTATACATAGATATCCGTCATGTCCCATGGCAGAGTTTAAATGTTGTAGTTCAGTACTGAAGTTTTCATATACTTTGCTGTGGATCTTAGATCCCCTGAAATCACGTGGCATACTCATTTCCGTAATTTTATTGTGGAAATTTGAATTCCCCCATTTTCGCGCCAAAAGCGCTCATTTTTACTTTCAGTTTGTTTCCCACCTGGAGGGACCTTCAGTGCCATCATTTCGTTTCCTCTTCTAGTACACTATTTTGTGAAGTTTTTGAAGTATATTTTTGAGTTGTATATCCGCGTTAGTTGTGTGCTTGTTCGTTCGTTCTTCCAGGCTGCTTGTGATCTGCTTTTAGTTGGTAGGGCCGGGGCACAATGGAATAGCTTAGCTGGTCCTGTTGTTGTGTTACTGACTTTCTTTCCGTTCGCCGTTCTAGGTAATATCATGATCTATCGAAAGTATCATACTTGTATTTCAAATGCTTGTGTAGCGTGGTAGTTATATATTATCACGTTCTGTGTTTATCTCAGATACCTGAAAAAGAACGTTCAATGCTGGAAGAACGTATCAAACGAGCTGGGCAAGCACCGATCAATACTGTTGATAATTTTGAACCAAAGACGCCGTCTGTAAGATCGAGCACTGCAAGACGGTATGTATTTTAAAGTCAACGTTTGTTGTCTAATTTGTAAATTTCATTTCTATTTACCATTGTTGTTTTTTTTCAATCGAAATGTTATCTCTGAAATCTTCCTTGAATTAGGATAAAGCGTTGTTTTCTGCTAACATTTTATCGTAGTGTCTTATTAATTCCAAGAATACTAGAAACCTATCAGTGTATTCCCCTGCTTAGTTCTATGATGAGTTCTTATAAATTGATTTGTCTGGGGTAATATTATAAGAAGTAACTCAGACTTGTTTTTGTTTCTCATCTTGCAATTACGCATACACTAATGTTTGTTTGTCCATTTCATTTTTATATCAGTGATCCATCAGATTCACGCAATCCTCTAGAGCCTGTTCCAAATGAATTTCGCCGTCAGCAACCGGTTTCTGCAGCTCATGCTAGAGCACGTGCTATGTTGAATGAACTAGGTGATTTATCACCTGAGAAAGCTCCAAGTATGCCTCCACTTATTCAGTTAGACGCTGATATAAATGATCTCTTTCAACCAGTTGAAATCCCAGCATTGAAGTAGGTATTCACGATGTTTACTATTACTTTTGGTATTTTGATTCAAATGCACAACTATTTTAGTTTCAATCTCTTATATGTATTTCACTGTCATGAGTTTATATCATTTTTAGAACACACGTACGCCAGCCTGTTCTCAATGCACTATTACGAACAAGTCCTGATACTGCTTCAGCGATCACAATGGTCGTAACGGCTATATCTTCTAATGATTTACTAATCAGTTGTCATGCTTTAGCCGAAATCGACACTGTTCTTCGAGGTACGGTTTTGATAACTTGCACATCTTTTCCTCAGTTATATTATCAGTGTAAAAATTATTTTATAGTTTCAACTATTCTACTCACTGCCTTCTCGTGGCGCGTGTGTTGTTTATGAAAGGCGAATGTCCAGCTCTTTAACGGGGTTGGTGATAAGGAGGATCCACCCAGGGGATTTGGAAACCCTGATTCCAAACCAATGGTGCTCACGGTCTCCAGTATCCTGAGGGAACAAATGGCCTATGAATCAGTCGTTAGTCACCGGCTACCATGGGACTGCATCTTCTGACGTTGCTCCACTGTCTTGTGGACTAGACCTCTAGCTGAAAGGTTCAAGGAGTGGCCTTCTAAGAAAACCACCTGCTTCGGTTTGGGCACCCAGACAGTATCCCAGCCCTCACACAAATCGAATGGTTTGTGTGGTGCACATCTATTTGGTGCCTCATTGTACCAATGTTTATGTGTCTAAATCATATTAACAATAAAACCTTCATAGTTTATTTTAGTGACTCGTAGTTTGCCATGTTTAGCTATTACAGTACTTCTTGAATAAGCGCACTCTAATAATTTATATGCTGGTCATATTGAGTAATTATCTATTTTTTAAATTACACCATAACATAGCTCTTCACTTTTATCAATCTAGATGAAAAGTGGTACCTTTTACTCAATCATGTCAATCAAGTCCTGATGCTTATTACAATGCAGTTACGTCAAGTTACTTCGAGATATTTTGGAGATCCTTCAGTTTCAGAGGAGCAGTTGCATACATTGATTCGGTCTCATTTGGCCACTATTGAATCTGTAAGTTCAATAATCTTTAATTTTCTACCAAAGTTATCTCACAAATTAAATACAAGACTCCTATGTTGTCAAATAACCATTACGCTAGAAGTTAAAGCATATTGATAAAGCCACTTAACGTTGGTCTGAGATCTGTGTATTAACTTATGAGCTTGTAAACCAGTTGAATATTTTGAAAGCCATATGTTGCAAATTCTTGACAATCTAGATAAAATCAGTCTTGTTTACTTTGAATTTCGTTCATATCTGAATGTTTGTTTATTTCACATTTCTATTACTACGGATTTCCGCCTTATAAACGTTTTGTGTTGTGCAAACATACATCGGCACCTTTCTGTGTAACTTTTACTCATACTCTTTTTTGCGTTATTTTATGTTTGAACCGGTTACAAGACCACTTAGTCTGCGAACGGAACAAAGACTTGTGACCAGAGACCGATAAGCTATCTATTCTGACGCGCCCCAGACCCACTAACTGAAGTGAGAAGTCCAAGTTGGAAGTGGGGAAGATATATTCCGTAATCAGCCAGAAGCACAAGCAATCACAACAGAAAGAAATCAAACGTAACGCATAAAATTATCATTGGGGAACATTACAAAATAGTGTATTAAGTAGTACAACGGATGCGCTGAGGCTAACCGCTTACGTAGTTGGTTTCGGTCTCTAATCCCACCTCAACCTCGCACATAACTTGGCCTAGTTTTCTAACCACACGTGCTTCAGTTCAGGGACCATGATTTGATCTGTAGTCCCGAGCGAACACCGGATATCTAACCTGGTACTTCGGCAGCTTGTGGGACGTGGTGGCGATGGTGTGGTTTTCGGAAGCATCGGATTGTGGATTGTCCTCAATTTCCTTCCCATGAGGATATCTGCCAGAGACTTCTGCCCAGGTAGCATATCGCTAGGTGTCGTTCTGTACACGGATAAGAAGTTCTACAGTGTTTCCGCCAGCGTTGCCTCCCCTTTTGACTTGATCAGAGCTCTCTTGAATGTATCCACAAATCTTTCCGCTTGACCGTTTGATTGCTGGTGGTAAGGTGGGGAGTGAAGATGTTTGATAAATAGCCGATTGCAAAAATCTTGGAACTGAGTTGAAGTGAACTTTGAACCATTGTCGGATACGATTACGTTGCGGGCGAACATTTCTATCAAGAGTTTCATCGTTTGGGTAGTCGTTGGTGGCGTAATGGGAACAATTTCTGGCAATTTTGAAAAGGCGTCAACTACGACTAGATAGGTGGTTCCATTGATTGGACCGGCAAAATCGACATGTATCTTGGACCAGGGACACTCAGGCTGCAGCCATAGGACCGGCGTCATTTTCGCATTACACTTCGCTGCTTTCTGACAATGCACCCATCTGCTTACTAAATCCATGATGTGCTTGTCCATGAGGGGCCAATAAGCATAGCTTCTAGCTGTGGGTTTAATTCGCTTCATACCAAGATGACCAATATGAAATTGCTTTAGAACCCTTGGTCGTAGGGACTCTGACATCACCACTCTATCTTCAAACATCAAGTATTCAATCACAACACATAATGAGTCCTGACGGTGGTAAAGCTGCTTCATGTCACCCTCGAATCCAGTTGGTGGCCAGCTATTGGTGACGTAGTCTATCGTCTTTCTAATGGTGGGGTCGTTTTTGGAAGCAGTTTGTATCTCAGATTCTGAGACTGGCAAAGCACAAACAGAAGTTGTCAAGTAGCAATGCTCGTGGTCTTCTGTCGAAATGAAAGCAATAGTCGCATCTTCATCGGCCGTAGGGTGTTCACTGATAAGTCGCGACAAGGCGTCTGCCTGACCAAAATGCTGGGTGCGGCGATACTGAATATCAAAATCATAACCCAAAAGTGTTAAGGCCCATCGCTGTAGACGGTTTGCAGAGTGGGCTGGAATACCAGACTTCGAACAGAAAATTACTAGAAGAGGCTTGTGATCAATTAGCAGAGTAATTCTCCGACCGTACAGGAATTTGTGGAAACGGCGTACTGCAAAAACAAGGGCGAGAGCTTCCCCCTCCCACTTAACTGTATTTCCTCTCTGCTGGGGTTAATGTGCGTGATGCATGCGTGATAGCTTTCTCTGTCGCGTCCGGGAACTGGTATGAGATGACAGCGCCGAGCGCGAAAACTGAAGCGTCTGCAGCCACAATGCTTGGCATGGATGGATCGTAGTGCATTTATAGTAGTTCTGAGCTAATGATTGTCTTCAGTTTGCAAAAGGCGGTTTCACGCTCTTTTGTCCAGTTCAAACTAGTACTGGTATTCAGGAGATGGTTTAGTGGGGCGCGGATGTCATGCATCGACGGAACGAAAGCTGAATAATAACTAGCTAATTCCAGAAATGATCGGAGAGCAGAGACATTGATAGGAGTGGGCATCACTTTTATAGCTCGGATGTTCTCGGGGTCTGGTCTGCGACCTGCAGCATCAAAGATGAATCCCAAATAATTTACTGACTTCAAGAAAAGCTGGCACTTTTCCGGGTGTAACCGTGATCTGTTATCGCTGACACGTAGTACAGCCGTCGTGTGTTCTCGTAGCTGTTCTGACAATGTGGCAACAATTAAGATGTCATCAAGATAAGTTTCGACCCCCGGGATACCCGATAGGATGGTATCCATTAGTTGCTGGAAAATAAATGGGCGGTCTTAACTCCAAACAATAGGCGATTATACTGAAACAAGCCACAATGAGTATTAATGGTAAGTAGCTCCCCCGATTCTTCAGCCACTTTCACTTGTAAATAGGCATCAGTAAGATCCAGCTTTGCAAAGAACTTTCCACCATTCGTATAATGAACAAATCTGCAGGGACTGGCAGCGGGTATTGATGCTGTTTTAGAGCTGCGTTAAAACCTGTGGAAAAATTTGCGCATATTCGGCTTGTATCATTAGCCATCTTGACAACAACAATGGGTGCTGCCCAAGCAGAATAAGAAACAGGTGTAATGACTCCTTGACGTTGAAGGCGACTAAGTTCTTTGTCAACTTTCGATAATGCAGCATGACACTGATCTCTTTGGGCGGAAGACACGCTTAGCCCCAGGTTTCAACCGAAGTGTTCCTTTCACAGCCGAGCACCGACACAAAACGGTTGAAAACTCTGTCATTAGTTTCTTTGAATATGCTTCGGATTCATGGGGTTATTTTACTAGATGTTATACAGTGCTTAACGGAACGTCCGCTAAACGCAACTGGTCAAACCAATCTAAACCAAGTAAATTAAGATCATTTGGTCTTATATAGCATACCTCGGTGAACGTCGAATCGCGAAAACATACTTTACAATCTAGTTGTCCCAACAAAGATAGGTAATTACCGCATGCAATACGAGGTATTTGTGTTGTTGGCACCGTGTGTGGTCTGCCCATTTTCATCCAAGATTTTCGTGAGAGGATTGTGACGTCTGATGCAGTGCCTTTTTTCAATCTAAACGGATGCGCGTTAATATTAACAGTAATAAATGTTATCTCAACTGGGGTTGAGCTCTGACAGGTTGCTACTAGACTTAACGAATTTGTGCAGGATCTAGAAACAGGCGTTCTAGTATTTCTAGAGCTATTTGGCTTCCTCTTTAGACAAAATCCATGTTTGTGGCCCACAGCTTTACACTTCCTGCAACGATGTTGTTTGTATGGACAGCTTCGAACATAATGCCATGCACCACAGTGCCAGCATGGAGCAGGAGGATTTTTCTTTGCTTGTTGGACTGAGTTCGAGTAAGATGAACTAGATAGAGCTGGGGTGGATTTGACTGGGTTTGGCGGTTGTTGGAAGCACCACGCTGTACCATCGTCGTGTCGTGCTGCAGATATTCGTTTGCAATATTATTAAGAGTCAGTTTAGGGTCTTGGTCCAATCGACTGAGCAACCGTGTTCTGATGTCACTGAACTTTTGCGATTGGAGACTGCAGATAAGAATGAGGGCTTTGAACTGATCTTCAGTTAGCTACTTCAACCGAGAGCGTTCTCATTCGCAGTTGACAATGCCCACATGCGTCAGAAAATCGGCGTCTTCAATCATGGTCAGATTTAAACATCGGTAGCTTCTGTTAAACAGTGAGTAGTTATGAGAAAGCGGAGAAAATTTGTAGCTTTGTAGATTTGTAACTTCTACCCGAAGTTTGTACTGATGATGTCGTTCAGAAGGACGATGAAAGCTCCACGACCAAACCATCCAGCTCAGAGAACAAACCAACATCAAAAAGTGAGTAGTTATTTCCGAACTGTTGGCTCAATGACTGGACAGTGTCCGAGAATGAGCCGTCGCGTAAGTTTAGAGGCAGAGTCAGGTTACAATGTCTAACTAGTTCACTAGGACCCAGCTTCCGAAGCAGCAAGCGGACTTTCCAAGCACCATCTTGATTAGCAAAACCAAATTTGAATAAGTCTTCATAACGCCGAAACCACATATCAAACGTGACATTGGATTCAGGATCTTAATGAAACTCAGAGATGCTGCTCGCAATACCATCAACTGAAGGTGCAGTAGTGGTAAGAGTCGAAGTGCTTGTTTGAGTGTCAGACATAATTTTTGCTTCTGCTAACATCTGGATAAGTTTCATCTGCTGCTCGAGCAATTATTCCACTTTTAAGGGATCTATATTTGCATCAGCTTCGCCGCCAATTTTGTTATGTTGTGAAGCGGTTACGAGTTCACTTAGTCTGCGAACGGAACAAAGACTTGTGACCAGAGACCGACAAGCTATCTATTCTGACGCGCCCCAGACCCACTAACTGAAGTGAGAAGTCCAAGTTGGAAGTGGGGAAGATATATTCCGTAATCAGCCAGAAGCACAAGCAATCACAACAGGAAGAAATCAAACGTAACGCATAAAATTATCATTGGGGAACATTACAAAATAGTGTATTAAGAGATACAATGGACCAATGGCATTTAAAATTTTCACAAGTGCAAAATACAACTCGAAGATGAAAAGAGCGCCTTTGGCGCGAAGACAAATTCAAATTTTCAAAATAAAATAACAAAAATAATTCATTTACCAAGTGAGTTCTGAGGATTTAACATCCCCAACACCTTTACACTCAGTGATCATTATATGATGTATCATTTAATAATCAGCGTGTTTTGTTTTTCAAATTAGACTGAAAATTTAACTCACTGTCTCTTTACATAGCTTTTTAGTCGTCCAACATTAGGTCGTGAAGCCTCACGGGAAACTTTAAGAGAATTATCTCAGTCTCTCCTTCAAATGATGTTGGATGAAAGGACTTCTGAAATGTCCAGTGGAGAAAATGTTATCAGATCAATCAATGCATTATTTGTTCTTATTTTGGAGGCTTCTAATGGAACACGTATACTCAGGTATATTATTTACTTTCAGTTTTCGATAATATATATATTTATTTATAACTCTGAACTTCACCCACCAGAAATGTGAGCATTTTCTCGGTTATTCTTTGCTGGGTTTTTTTATCTGCTTTACTTAATTTTATAACCATTGGCACTCTGTGAACATTTGACTGTATTAGTAATATTGTAATCATAAAGTCAGTATTTCAAATTATTATAAATGCGATCAATTTACCTTTCACGCAAATCTTCACTCAAGTACTAGTCTCGGTCCGTTTTCATGAGAATATATCTGTTCAATTCTGTCTCCCCTCTATCAAATAATATTTTCGATTGTGATCGATTCTGAGCCATGTCACCTAGAGTCTCCAACCACTGGTTACAATAGTCACGCGGACCCCAACCAGGTAGTCTGTATCTGCCAACATGGCTCAGACTAGAAGTTAGTGACTTCAAGCACTGATGCCATGTTTTGGTTTGGCCGCCCCTAACTCTCTTCCAACAATCCCCAGTACTAGTCATCATAGCGCGTCGTGGTAATCGGTGTTCAGGCATACGTAACACATGGCCCAACCATCTCAGTCGATGAAGATCCATCACCTCATCAATTGATTTACCATCGTTCCCTAATACCCTGCGTCTAACCTCACTATTACTTACCCGGTGAACCCGGCAGGTGCGAGCAATATTTCTAAGAGATCTGTGATCTAATACTAGTAACTTGCTAGTATCTTCTACCCTTAATGGCCATGTTTCGCATCCGTTGAGAAGAACAGAGCGAACTGCTGCGCAGTATTCTCGTTCTTTAATTGATAGACAGATATATCGTCTTCGCCATAGGTGACATAAGTTGGCGTAAGCCAACCTATATCTGATTTGCTTTCGCCCTTCATCGTGTTCAGAGCCTGATGGGATGAGTTTACGCGAATGCATAAGTGAAATAGACATAGAAGAAATCCATTGGTTTTTTTGTAACTGGTTTAAATTACTAATAGATGTTACTACTATTTCCACAGGTGTTTGTATATCTTCCCAAGCAGTATCTGGATTAGTCTCGTTTGCAGAACTGCCTAGATGTGAACTCATATGATCCTGGAACTTATTTTAGGCTTTCTCGTCCTCCAGTTCAATCCTAATGGGTCTTCCTATTGTAGTTTTTCTGCGTCTAGTGAGGCGCACTGAAATGCGTGATCGGAGTCTAAACATGTATTCCAGTACGAGCTTACGTTATTACATGATAGATATTCACCTCTACTGTTTATGCTATTGGTTTGCTAAATATGCTATTGTTTGCAGGGCTGTTGTCGTCCCAACTGTTAAAATGGCGTTTACTTAATTAGTGAACTTGAATGTAAAGTGGTTTATGCCTGAAGCGTAACGTATTGATATGATGCAAATAAAGGTGTAATGTTGTTTGTAATTCTGTTTATTCGCTACACAAATTTAATTCAATATTTATTTGGGATTATATTGAAGAAAGATCTTTATTTTATATGAGTGTTTAAGTTAGCTTTTATCGTTAAAGACAGATTTTTATTTATATAGATGTTCATAAAAGTTTACAATATCCCACTACTTATTTCTTTGGATTATAGTAATCTTAGTACAATGATTTATTACATTTTACTAACAACCATTGAACCACTTTTTTACGCTGCAGTGCGCTCATTCGGTTACTGCATGAGTGTGTCAGTAACGGACATTTTACAAACCGATTCACTCAAGCTATCCTCAAAAGTATATGGCGTATTACCAAGGGAATGAATACTGCATGTAAGTTTATTGAATATTAGTGCGTATAGTTAATTGAGGTATTTCTCAATTGTGGTTGCTTGTTTGATTTGATTTTAGACATATATTTTCTAAATGATATCTATCAAGTGAATGAAAGTTCTACATTTCCACCACCTTATCTCACAAGATTTCTGTCGAATGTAAGCCACCTGGTATAGTTCACATTTTACTCATTGATGTTGGTTTAAGATCAGAGATTTTTTGAGAAGACTGCAATGTACTCGATAGTCTTCATGAACAAAATCTCATCTCAAGTTTTACTACGAAACACTTTCACTTCAACATACTTTTTACCATTTGTTAAGATTTAGGCCATTTGCGACCAAATTTATTTTCGTATTATGTAATAGTATTTGACTGGCATAGATACAAGTATTTATAATTAGGTCTTAATTTTATTGCATCGAGTGGAGAATGAATATGTAATGAATTAATACCATAACTTACATTCACTCATAACTTGATTGATTTTTAACGATATTTATTGTCAGAAATTTAAAACAATTGTTCCCTTTTATAAATTTCGATAGAGCAATGAGAAGACGGAGTTTATCTGAAAAATGTGATGTATTTGCGCCATACATTTCAGATAATCTGGTCACGCATGTACTTGTCATGGCATTTTATATGAAGGTCGATTAAATGAAAGTTCGAGTAAACAAGTATATGCGTGACCAGATTGTTCGAAATGTATGGCGCAAATAAATTACATTTTGTATGTCAACTCCGTCTACTCTTCGCTCTATCAAAATATTTATTGTGTTGAATATTTTGTCATTTTGCTAGAAAGACAATTCCTTACCTGACACTTATGTTGTCTTTTATTATCATTTTGATCTGGATTGGGGCTCAGTTAATAAATCGGTCTTCTATACAGTTAGTCAACCACATTATTTTGTTATAGATCATATATCGGATCAACTAAAATGCGTACGTAGGTAATTCAAAACCATAATCTACAACATTGGTAGTGTTGATCTTTTACTTTTTATCACATTCGTGTGTACTTTGTCAGACTTAACGTTGAACAACCGTTGTCTTTACTTGCAGTACTGTTTGAACATATGAATCAGCTTTATACCATTTTGGTCTGGGGATTCCAATTAATACTGAATCACACTACTTATGTCTGAGATTAAAATATATAACCTTACATGGTTTGGGTCAATAAATTTAAAAAGTCGAAAGTCTTAACGCACTCATTTTTTCTTGCTATCTAATTTAGTTTTAAGAAATACATGTATTTATGTGCTCCGATGTGTTATACAATATGTACCTATAAAAGTTTCTTACTCCCACAGTAAGGCTTTTCGTTTGTTACTTACTTTATTTAACTAATTTTGGTTCTTATTTCGCTTGTTTATGTGGATAATTTAATGTTCACAATCTGTTGTATTTAACTTCAGTATTTCTTTATTTCTGAAAGCAAGAATTAAACTACTGTTTTTTTCTGTCGGCATCAGTTAATAATTACTCTGTGGATGTCATACTTCTGGACTGTCATCATTTTTTAAAGGCTTTCCCACCTTCCTCATGGAGTGCTCGTAAATCAGATGTTCCTTTACGAACAATCAAAACCTTATTGCATGTATTATGTGGCCTCCAAGGTCCATCAATTCTACAGTTTCTAGAAAGTATACCTAATAAGGTAGGTATTTCTGGGCATTCGTATATTTTGTTATAGAGTTTCAAATTAATCTAACTCTAAGATGCTTAAAAGCTTACAAATCATTAGTAATTGTTTTTTTTTTCAAGATCATGATATGTTGTAACATTGCGTCTTTTGTGTGCCACAACTCGGAAACAAATTTGGCATCCTCTATTTGTGTTACTGTTTTTCCTCTCATTTCGACATTTCTTCATAAGCATTTATTGCTGAAGAATCGTAAAAGACAAAAATCCCCTAAATACTTTTTATTCTTGTTCAGATTTTCAACTATAATCAATCTGTACTAGTAGAAACTACTTCATTTTATTACTCTCTTCAAGCATTGCTCAAATTAATTATTAATTAAAACTTTTCAAGCAGTTTTATATCATCTGAGGTTCAACATTAATGTATATGTACTAAAATGTCGATATTTCCGAGTGGATCGTGCATATGCCCATTCTAAATTCGCGTTAACAGAAGTAAACTTGGTTTTGTTATGGTTGTATGTTTTTTAAACATCAGACGCTCATTCTATAAGTCAAGTGGCTTTTCAATATAAACCTTGAAATTCCTGGATTTATCTATTTGTTTAGCTAAATACCTCTGAACCAATGTAATCCTATACTTGGGGAACTGATGGAAGTATTAGATTAGTTGGTTATGCAAGGAGCAAGTTATCCTCGTATTAAGCTGAAAAAGGTAATGTAGAATGACTACGTTTTGCTATATATACTTATGTTACTTAATTTGCTTTGGCAAATCTGTTGTGACTACCGCAGGTCATAAAACAGCAGTTGTAGCAGAAGGCTTATATAGTTTAAGTCAGTGGCAAAAGATGGCTTCATAGCCATATATCATTCAATCTTATTCTATGAAAAAAGCACCAATTAGTTTTAAAAGTATCTCTAGAATGTACCCATACTTTTTTCCGTACTAATAGGAAGATTCAGAACTGGAGTCCTACCTCATTCGCACACTAAAAACTACTTCAGGAGTTACAACTACTACCTCTGATCCGAAAAAAATACTGGCGTCTGAAAGTCATTCTAAAGTAAGCGAAATTTATTGTCCTCATATACACATAGATTAGATATTCTGTTATTGGAAAATATTATGACTAAAGACTGTTAAGTGCAAATGGATTTAATGTGTTTTCGTGTTGCTGTCAAAATAGAAAACACTAAAGTTTACAGTCAGCATAAATACAGTTTAATGACGATCCTTTTTGCTTTTGAGATTTGGTTATCTCCACATACCATAAATGTCGAACATAGGCGTCTTAGTTTTCATCTGCAAATGGCTCTTTACTGTGAAGCTTGGTATTTTTAGCAAGTTAGATATCTCTCACTTAGAGAATAATACATGAAACAGATATCTTATCTTCATCAAAAAATCTTATATTGTTTAATATGAGCATTTTTGGGTGGTCTCGTTACTTTCTGTCACTATTTAATTGTCTAGAGAACTGGTATGTGAGAATAAAATATGATCAGTCACTGAGCTTGAACAAACATACATCGCCTACTAACTACTAGATATGTGATTACCTTTCCTCTCATTGATTTCTACTCAGGAATCACTGAGTGTGATTGTATTAAGTGAAGTATTATCTAGTGTTCTGTTTCATGAATCCTGGATCTGATATAACGTGACTGGTCTCATAATCGTATTAACCTATTATAGTAGTACACGTGAGAGGAAAAATATTTTAAACCATCTGTTATATCAGGAGCAGCTATCTGTTAGTGTTTCATGTTACTGATGCTCGTATTGTGAGTGGAAGTCTACATAAATTGTTGAAAAGTCATTTCTTAGTGAACCTAACTGCCAAAATATACACTGCTGGTATTGTGATTTTTTGACTTCTTAGGCTCTAGCATCCTCATGATAATTTAGAAAACACATTTTATATTTTCATAGGGATTTGTACTTTCTACTGTAACTCGTGAGAAATTAACCGAAATATTCAACAAGGTCGGATCTAAGAAACCTGATGAAGTAAGTACTCATTATTTTTTTGACAGACTATCTTATGTAAATATATGAACCGTTTCTGGCTATATAAGTTCCATAAAGCTATTAGTTGAGTTAAATGGTGAATTTAATGACGATTGTTCAATATGCAACGATAATAATAATTCAACGATAATCCTGTCCTAGTTGAGTAGATATTTTATGCACGTTAGTTTTGAATCTAAAAAATATGTTGGTACATTGTAGCATTGGTTTCTCATCCTAGATAGCTACATTTAATACAGAACAATGGATGTTCCTACTAAAATTATTGTTATCATAAGTTTATTGACACGTGCTATCTTCACATTCTACTTTTCCACCAGGGTTTAAATGAACTATACGATTTCACTCAGCTCTATCCAGATGTAGATTTATCGTCATACTTAACAAATACGAGCCAATTTTTCCAAGCCTACATAAAACAGGCTTTACGAAATATAGCTGTTGAACGCGCCCGTCAGGCTAGGCTAAGTGTAAATGACAAAGAACCAAACACATTAGCAGCTCATCAAGTAAGTACTTTAGTTACTATTTTTTAAGTTATTCGCTTAAAAACTGAAAGATGTAATACTATCTTGTTGAGGGTTTTGTTTACAAGACTTCACTCCTGTTGATACTCTTCAATCTGGGACGTTTAATCAATGGTAAAGTCATTTAAATGTCAACTCATAAGGTACCTTTTCGAACCCTGCCTCGCTTGCATCGATTTGAATAGACGGGAGATACCCTTAATCATCATGGTTACATATATGAATCTGTTTGATTACAGGGTAGTTATACTCACTGCCTACTTGTGGTGGGGGTGTTGTTTATGAAATTGAGAGGACGAAAAGCGAATGTCCGGCGCTTATACCGGTTGGTGGACACCGAAAGTCCATTTAGGGGAGTTGGAAAACCCTGATTCTAAACCAATGGTTCACATGGGCTCTAGTATTCTGAGGGAACAAATGGCGTATGAATTAGTCGTTGGTCACCGAGTAATATGGGACTGCATCTCCTAACGTTGCTCCACTGCCTTGTGAATCAAACATTTAAGACAAAGGCTCCGAGCGTGCCCCCCCGCTTCAGTTTAGGCACTTGGGCAGTATCACAGCCCTCACACAAATCAAATGAGATTTGTGTGGCGCATATGTATCTGGTGCTTCCTTGTACCAATATTTATGTGTTTAAATAAATAAACCAAATTACACTTAACGAACTACCGTATCAAAATTAGAAACCACCGTCTCTAAAACGTACTACTTCCGAAACCTCTTATCCAATAGTAGAAGTTATCTTCCTATCACTTGATGCTTAATGAGATCGATATCTGCTTTCTTCACTTTAAACAATAAGCTGTTGTGTTTGGAAAGATAAGTCTGAACACTACAACCATACAATGAATTCTATAATTATGCTCCTTACCGATATACTGTTATCATTGTGTGGATTCCAAGTTTCATGTCTAGTACTCTGTATTTACTTTGTGACAGACTGATGGCGTTTTAGCGCGTCCTAATTGGAATTCAGATTTTGATGCAAATATTATCAATGGCCAACCAACTGATCCAAAAGTATTTATGAATCGATTGGCGGTGCTACGAAGAGAACTGGGTCTTGGTGGTGTATCCACAACTAACATGGATGATAATATTGGGTCATCTGACGAAGCTGGAATACAAAATACAGCTTTTGAAACAACTCTTCGAGTAAGTCTATTTTAAAAGGAAGTAGCTATGCGAGACCTGATTAAATCCGTGTGCTTTTAACAAGTAAAAATATATTGGTTATGCTTCTTGCACTTCCAAACAATCAACATGAACCAGTAATAAAATACTCCCAACTGAACAAAAAATAATAAGTTTGGACTAGGCACAGTTGTCATAATAAGAATCGCTTCATTCAACCGTATTTATTGATATTTTTGTTTTCCAATTTGTTTAACTTTCTACAATGGACATTCATGTCTAAATTATCATTAAGTGTTAACAGGACTTGTATGAAATTCACACGAATTTCGCTCTAGCGAACTAACTGTGGAAGGTCTATTTAATTAGATTTGAAAAGCGTTCATAGAATAACCTCATCGAGGAGATTGTAAAAACTGCACCGTGTATTAAACTACAACTAATTTCACCTAGTCACAACAATCGCCTAACTTTTTTAAAACCTGATTTTGATGTTTTCAAGTTTTTACTATTTGTGTTACTGAGTAGTGTGTGTCGATCAGACTTTGAATCTACGTTTACTAACAGTCGTGCGAATTCAGTTGGAAAAAAATAGTTATTTGCGCTGACCTCCATTTGCCATGACAAAAATTACGACATTGCTGCCAAAGTTGAGCTGGGTTAAGCTATATTGCACCGATTGCAATTATTTCTGAAACTTTGATGTATAATTCAAAGGATTCTTCTCGGTCATATTTATTAGGATTCGACTGCTTATTTGTAGAAACATGTGAATTAGTGCAACAACTAACATATAATAGTTGAACGTCTGCTGGTTCGTTATAACTCACTGTAACCGTTTTGAGGTTTATTGTGTGATAGATTTTCGCTACGGTCTCCAAATGATCATCTGTATTATCAAGACAGTTATTTGAAATCGAAGTTATCAGTAATAGCACAAGATTTATTGGTGATTTCTGATGAAGGATTACTTTCACTGTTCACTCTTCATGTAGAGATAAACTTTAAATCATACATAACAAATAAAATTTTATCTTTCAGAATATGGTTCAACCAAATGGTGATTCTCCAGATGAAAATACTCAACCTGAAACAGAACAAAGGCCTACCATGTCCACCACTGAGTTAATGGACTTGAAACGAAGACTAGAACGGATTAAAAGTGCCCAAAAGCATTAACAGTTTCTTTGCGTGATAAAGTAGTCTTCCAATCATCTCAACTTCCAATTATTTACGTTCACTAACTTCTGCTTTTCATATGTAAATATTTCTTAGATGTTCGTTATGAGATTTTTATGTCCAGACTTTTACGTATTACGCAAAAAAGTACGTAACTAAATATACATGTGATCGTTAACTAAACTGTCTTTATACCAGCAAACATTTTTTTACAGAAAAACAGTTAATTGTACAAATTTACTGTCTATTAATTAAATATATGTTTGAAAATCACTAAATGAATCAAAAGTTTGGAGACACTAATTGTGTGTTTGTTTTGTATTGATCATGGTACATATGCATAAACTCATCTAATCGATCAACTATTACTCCAGTCAAATTAAGTTGTGATGCTTTTCTATAAAAACTCATTTCAGACACACCATCACCATACACAAAGCAGGATAGCTGTTTACTCTCTAAATCCGCTCCAAGAGATTTGATCTGCCTGTCATCCACATCATTTGTCGAACCGAAATGATGTCCCACTGTAACAATCCCATTTAAGTTCATTATATGTGCCCAACTTGTCGCAGAGAATATGTTGTGGTGTCGTGGATCTGACTTGTGACTACTATCATTTGGATAACCACCACGAGAAATAAACAAGACTGGTAAAAAAGATTGCTTTAGCCTTAAAGCTAAGCATATATCAGGATTAAATGAAGATAGGATAACGTATCTGGGTCCAGCGTGTGACCATATTGTCTGTAAGGGGAAAAAACAAGTGTTTTTATTGTTTGATAAATAGTATGGGCCGTTAAGATTTTTTATTAAGTGGAGAAACCGAAAACCACCAAAGGATAATTTCATGTTTACTACAAATTGTGTGTATCAACAGATCAAAAAAAAAGAATTTGTTTTGAAGTCATAAAGACTGGCGAACAAATCACTTGATACGATTTAAAAGTTTAACCAGTAGTTATTTCCTGACAATATGCTAAGCGATTTATCAACTAATTGTACCTAGTGTAACTCATAATTAGAAAGTTTGTTTGAACTGGGACAATGACAGTTTATATAGTGCTAAGTAAGAGTGGTTACATATCACTTATCATATATGAAGTTAGGGACAAAAAGACATTTTGCTTTTAATCCTAAATGGAGCCCAATGGTAGTCTCATCCAACTGTTCAGCCTCTCAGTAAGTGCTTCATAAGCTTTTGGCTGCTGAGTTGACATCCAATGGAAGATGACTATGAGTTAAGTTAACTCGCCATATTGGACGAACATCAGTTTTGACCATTATTTCTGTAATTAAATTAACTCAATTAACATGTACTTGGATGTGAGGGGTAATGATAGTACCCGGTCGCCTAAACCGATGTAGGTAGAACACAGTTCAAATCCTTGCCATTAGTAGTATTTTTTTAAGCTTAACTAGATTGGACCTGTGGTCACAGCTTCTGACTTGAACTACATTCAGAATTATCTCTCGTAATTACTAGCAAACACAATAACCTTTATTTTGGGTTGTTTATGAAGGTTGTTGCATTTGATGTTTCACATTGATTTGACAAATACATGAATAAAACTTATTACATTTCACTATTTAATTTCACAATAAGTCACGTGACGTTTTGTAGGGGAGTTCTAACTTATCAAAGTAGATTCTCAAACTGATAAAATTAAAAGAAATCGAGTTTAGCGGTCGCTTGGCACTGATTTATAATGGAATGTAAACAATTATCGAAAGTTGGTCTTATTGTGCTCACCAGCGACGAAGTGTTCTCGAAAGAAATCTCCAGTCGTAATAGACATTTTCGGCTCAGGGTGGTTTCCTCTGAGCTTTGATAATTAGTTGTTACACCTCTTCAAACCAAATAAAGATATTTTGATGTGCTGAATAAAGTGATGAAAAGCTCAATCAGTGGAATATTCTGTAGTCTGTTGTGCTGAGACAACAAACGAAATAAATAAAAATCCAAGAAATACTAAATTACTTACATCTAATATTGTATCACAGAATTTGTTGATTTTATAGAAATATGAGGACGGTGTTGGTAAAGAAAGTTCGACAGGTTTATGTTTAATTAATTCTTCAGCGACTAGATTATATGGCGTTTCTATGGGATATTTTATCTCCACGTTGAAGCTTAGATTTGTGGACGTTTGGTAGAATGCGTCTTTTAATAACGGTATTGGTTCAGCCTCTTTACCATGAATATTTGGAATAGGATCATTCATTGTTAAGGGACTAGGATACTGACTCTGGATAATGTTTGCACAACCGATCGTTCCATTGACCTTTCTCAACAAGCTACGAATTTCAGATAATTGGTAGTTCACAATCAAATCTGTGCTATTTTCATTTACTACACCATCAGCTTTAAACACAAAAGGTAGGACAACTCAGAAAAAAATGCAAACAAGCGCTGTTGAAAAAACAACTTTAAAAGGTACACGAAAAAAATTCCCTTTGAATTCAGAGGTTTTTATTATAATTACCATTGTTACAGTTTTTACTCATCTTTTGCTGCCTCTATTTTTAAGGTGAATGTGGCAAAAAGGATTGCTTTCATTAATCCAATTTCTTTCACTTTCTAATTCATTAATCTTATACCAGAGGAACAGAAGTTGCTATAAATTCATGTAGTTAAACCAGGTTAAGTAACGTGCTATTAATATCATGTAAATAATTCAAACTTAGACTGTAAAGTAAAGACCATAGAGAAATTTCCCAAAAGATAACTTGTTGTTAAGGAATAGAATTTGGGTCGTGTTACTTTACGTTTTTATTTCTTGTTCAATACATTTTTATCATATAGTATTAAAAAAATCTAAAATAAAAAAGGTTTCTTCCTCAGGCTCGTCAGACGCAGTATTTATTTGATAAGCAAAGTACTTTCAGTTTACTAATCCACCTTCTTCGATGATCTGGTGCTGTTATAATAAGTTATTTCTATTTTCTTATTTAAAATAATTTGGACTGAACACCGATGATCCTCAAAAGAAATTACAGTTTAACCATTATACTAGAAATAAACTAACTTTTATGCTCTAAAATGAAAGTTTGTGGATCTTTTTCAGATTTTCTCGGTTGCTCACATACTCCTAGTGTGAAGTTGTGGTGTAAAACAACTTCAGAATCTTTTGTGATAGTTGCATCACATTCTACCATTGTTACTCCAAGTTGTTCAGCACGTCTAAATGCGCATATTGTGTTTTCTGGCCATTCAGGCCCTTTACCATAATGTGCACATTTTACACCGGCACCAGCATGACCGACTATCATTGGTTGGGAGGTTGCAATTTGATGCATAGATGAATTAACTGGAGGGAGGCATAAATAGAGAGGTGTTCCTTGATCCGTATGAAGTGGTTTGTAGTCAAATATAAACAGATAGTACACTGAATGTGAAAAAAAAGTTAAGAAATATTTTAACAAGCATGAATTCACGATAAGTAATAGATACATTAACAGAATATGTTTGACAATTTTGTGAGAAATTCATCATAAGTCGCTTTTATATCATTCGTATTATTTGAAAACCTAGAACAAGACTGATATGGTACACAAAAAAACCATAGATTTAGATAGCATATAAATTACAATTGATCAATCACATCATGCGAAAGTGAAATCTACTATACGGTGGGGAGGTTTCACGAAAACTGTTAATTAGTGTACAGTTAGTATTCATCTTTGTATACATGTAGAGGTTTTACGTATAACATGCAAGTTTGCTACCACCCAACAAAACATGAGGCTCTGATGCTAGAAAGCGTGTGATCGAATGAGACGTAATGCTGCTGAATGATAATCAGTCACAACGTAAAACTTCGTACGTACGTACATCAGTTGGAGTTGCCATACCACATTAGCACAGAGATCCAGTTGTCGATTAAAATCCCATAGTGGTAGAAGTAGTAAGAGTATAAGCATTAATGTGAAAGATTAGGGTTTGAAGATGTTATTTAAGGAGTATAATCCATTGAAATAAATCTGGAAAGAGAAAAAGATCGGGACATGCAGAATCCAGATTAGAATTTGAGAGAACACGAAGAGTGGATGCACCTTCACCATTGCAAACGATTTTGAGCCATGTCATTCAAGGTCTCTAACCATCGGTTGCTACCATCTCGCGAATCCCAACCAGGTAGTCTACACCTACCAACATGGCTCAGTCCAATTGTCAGTGACTTTATGGATCCGCATCTATCGCCTAATCACGTTAATGTAGCTTATTTTGATAGTAATATCAAAAGCAGTTCTGCATAAACAATACCAAATGAAAAATTCTCAGTAAACACATCTTTGTGACCTAACAATTGATTTAGTAATCCATTTTACGTACCAATCAAATATTTTTGGTATTCTTTACATCTAATTTACAAGAAATAATTGTAGTAATTACTCACGGTAAATTTCATCTAAAATACCGCTATCGGAAGAAACTGGAAGACAAAGTAGACCCTGGTCATCTTGGTAATCTGGACGTAAAGTAAATGAAACACAAGATTTTTCGGAACCAGAAACAGTTTCTAATTCTAAATCAACAGACTTTATGGTAATTTATTGGGATTTAGGATGTTACCAATATAGAACTCATTGACGAATTACGGTTTGAAACAAGAAAACCACTGGCTGCATGTGGAGTTACAGGAATCCATCTTTCCGTATAAAAAGAACCTTCAACAGACCATGATAAAGATGGATCTACACTACAAGACTAAAATTAAAATACATAATGTACATATTATGAAAAAAGTATGTAAGATACCAGTATAGTCTTCACTCGGTTACCAAATATTATTAATTTAATTAAGTAGGAATTCTGACAGCCAATTTTCCTCTTGTTTCACATCAGAATGAATCATAATAGCAGTAATCATAAAAGAAATACAACACCTTACGTAACTAAGTTATTTGGAAGTTAATCATTAACATGGGACACTTAAGATATCCCGGTTTATTGTCAGTCCCAAGCCCAGAGAGAGCAGGGTTAAGTATGGGGCCAGAAACTCCATGATGTAGAAAACAAACTTGCTAAATAATAAACGTTTGCCAGAAAGTCATATAAGGCATTTAAACTCTGCCCTGGGACATGAAGGATATCTATGTATAGCTGTAAGGGAAAGAAATATCAAGAAACTATACGATATAACGAAGAATCTAACAGGGAAATATTTTAAACCAGAAAGACCAGTAAAGGAAAAAGAAGGCAAGCCAATCATTGAGGTTCAAGAACAGAGAAACAGATAGGTAAAACACTTTGAAGAACTCTTGAATAGACTAGCCCCACCAAACCAGCACACAGACCCTCCTATAGCTGTCACTCAACCAACAATCGAGGAAATCAGCATGGTCGGCCAGCAGACAAATCAAGAGTGGGGAAGCAGAGGGACCTAACAATATACCAGCTGATGCATTGAAGTCAGATATAGAGGTAACTACAAACATGGTCCACACTCTAGTCAGGAAGATTTGGGAGGAGGAAAAATTGCCGATTGACTGGGAAGAAGGATATCTCATCAAGATACCAAAGAAGGGAGACCTGAGCAAATGTGAGAACTACAGAGGCATCATACTACTGTCAATACCGAGAAAAGTTTTCAACAGAGTGTTGCTGAACAACCAATCGAATGGAACTCGTCACTATATATTAACCTGCTTGACTATGAGAAAGCGTTTGGCAGTGTGGATAGGAAGGCTTTATAGAAACTTCTTCGACACTATTATGTACTTGAGAAGATCGTCAACATCATCCGGAATTCATACGACGGACTACATTACAAAGTCGTGCATGGAGTACAGCTGACAGATGCATTCCAAGTGAGGACCGGAATCAGACAAGGCTACTTGCTCTCCCCTTTCCTCTTTCTTTGGAAATCAGTAGCACATATTAGAATTTGAAAACAATGACTGGCAAAGAAATGGCCGGATTCCTAGAGTTTAAGAACATATGAAGCTCAAGAGAACTGTCAATCAACATCTAAGTGAGAACCTTGAATACGAATGTCAAGACAGTTCTACTGTAGGGAGGGGAAACTTCAAGAACTACCACAACCATCATCAAAAAATGCAAGTACTTGTAAACAATGGTTTACGCAATATACTGAGTGTCCGTTGGTCGGATGCCATCAGCAACAATCTACTGTGGCAGAGACTAAACAATCTTCCAACTGAAGAGGGGAGTAGGAAAAGAAACTGAAGGTGGATAGGATATACATTGAGGAAATCATAGAACTGGATTACGACAGAGCGCTAATTTTGAATTCTGAAGGTAAACGGAAGAGAGTAAGATCAAGGAACACAGTATGTTGGGAATAGGAGGCAGACATCAAAAAATAAATAGCAGCTAAAAAGGATCGCCAAGAACAGTTTGATTGAGAATGCTGGTTGACTGCCAATTTTCACACGAGAATTAACAGGTGTAAGACCTGTATACATAACAAAAGCTTAAGAAAACCAGAATAATACCTTTTTGTTACTTCCTTTGTTGAGTAAACTATGGAATTATATTTTTTTGAGCATAAGTAGTGTTCTACTTCGTCCAGTAATTTTGAGATCTATGTTTGAATGACCGGTACATCTTTTTTTACAGAATTTATGCTTTGAAAGAGTTTCACAATTAGGACTTAGGGCATGATTTCTGAGCTATACTATCTACGAACATGCGTCTTGTTGTATATTGCGTCGAAACAGTAAAGCAGAGTTATTTTTGTGACTAAACTGACAAACTGGATAGGGTTAATGAACACAACATTGTCGTGAGAATTCAATGTGCACAACGACGAGGTGATCAGTTAAATATCCAATAAACCTAAGTATTTATTTTTGTACATTATCTAGAGCACATGACTAGTAACGTGTTACTAAGTGTTCGAACAGGTTCGAAAAGTTGACGAACAACACAGACTTACAAATAACATTATTTTATCGAAAGCATCAACTTTCTCAGTATCCATTTTCAAAGATCTAACCCGCATTTTCTGGAACACAGAATTTTTTGAATTGACCGAGTAAATGACCACGGCTACATAGGATTTCATAGTTGTCATATAGCAGTAGGAGTGAACAAAGTAATCAGGATGTTTCGTTTCTAGTATGGAAGTCTTTTGTGTCCATTACACCTTTTCTAAAAAGAATTTAAAACACAAAACGGGGATAAACTCGCAAGGTCCACCAATAATTCATTTTATATATTTCGCATTGAATGGTCAGTCAGTCAGCTACAACGTAGGACCAGGCACACATATGCATCGGTCCAAGTTGCCATACCTCGTTAGTACAACACGAACACCGGATTCATAGAAGTAATTAATTTACTGGTGGTAGTAGTATATAAATTATAGGTTGTATATAAGGATATAGTACAGGAAGGAAGAGAGATATGAAGCAATTTTAGTCTCAAGGTTTAAGGGAAGATAAAGAGTGTATACACCTACGCCATTGTGATCGATTCTGAGCCATGTCACCTAGAGTCTCCAACCACTGGTTACAATAGTCACGCGGACCCCAACCAGGTAGTCTGTATCTGCCAACATGGCTCAGACTAGAAGTTAGTGACTTCAAGCACTGATGCCATGTTTTGGTTTGGCCGCCCCTAACTCTCTTCCAACAATCCCCAGTACTAGTCATCATAGCGCGTCGTGGTAATCGGTGTTCAGGCATACGTAACACGTGGCCCAACCATCTCAGTCGATGAAGATTCATCACCTTATCAACTGATTTACCATCGTTTCCTAATACCCTGCGTCTAACCTCACTATTACTTACCCGGTTATCCCAGCAGATGCGAGCAATATTTCTAAGGCATCTGTGGTCAAATACTTGTAGCCTACGAGTATCTTCTACTCTTAATGGCCATGTTTCACAGCCATAAAGTAGAACAGAGCGAACTGCTGCGCAGTATACTCGTCCCTTAATTGATAGACGAATATCTCGTCTTCGCCATAGGTGACGTAAGTTGGCAAAAGCCAAACGAGCTTTTTGAATCCGTGCTGAAATTTCGTCAGACACCAACCCGCATTGAATGGTGGGAATGCAATGTCGCATTATTTCCCTCCAATGAATCTGGCCTTCAGCCCACCTAGTTTAATTAAAATCACTTGTGCACCAGGGTGAATTTTGAATTTAGTGTACCCAGAGTTAGTAGGCAGCAAGTTCTAAATATCGCACCATTAATCAAAACCTATACATCAATATGATACACTAGACATTACCATAAGTTCCTCATGTTATTTGTTTAGAAGAAACCTAGTATACAGGCACTAACACGTGTACTATTAGAAATAATTCATATGAAGTTAAAGAGGAGCTAATGCAGTCAATAAAAACCTAGAAATTAGTAGTAATGTTCATACGTCTAAGTTTCTACACCACACAGCTCAGTGAGACGCAAGTTATTTGAGGAATAAATTTCTGTGTACTCAGCTTTTAGTCACATAACATTTAAACCGATGCCAAAATTTAAGTAGATGGAATAGACTTCAGGTCTGTGGTTTGTTGATTGAAAGATGTATGCTTTAACCACTATGCGACAGCTCAAAGAGGAAATTAAAAACATGGAGATGGGAACCGTCGAAGTAATGGTAGTGATAAGCAATTTGGTGAGACTATAATTTATGGACGACCTTTGAGTGACCTTCACAATGTCCACCTAATAACTAAGACCAAACGAAGTTTAGATATCTAAATAAGGGATTAAGATTACGATTTACAGTTAGAACTAGGAACAAGATTTAGGGTTTTCATCACGATATAATGCCAAAACGGTATTTCGCCAAATGGATGAATGAATTTTGCGCCAAAATACAGGACCTGTTATCTTTTTCCTGACTGATTCGTCCATAAATTATAGCCTCGTCATGCAATTTACTACGTTTGAAGAGATCACGAGACCAACTGAAAATCAGTGAACAGAAAGAAGGACCAGTGATACAATGACAATACAGCCAAACTATTCCAATGAGTTTAAGCCCCACTCACTAGAGGGAGAGAACCCGGCTCATGCGAGTTGACACGTACTCCACAGGAAGGCAGTAGCACGAATGTGCGCACAATTCAAGGTTATATATAAAGCATAAGTGTCCTTGAGGGACGTCACAAAATGACATATTAAAAGGGAGAATGAACCAATTTCAATCTCTTACTATCGAAATAATTCACTTTCATTGGTGATCTACTTTTTCTTAAATGTCTTACAAACAACAGAGTTGAATTACACGATTGGTAGAGTATGTATAGATGATGGAGCGTAACCGACGAAAGTCCATATAAATTATGCAATCACATTACAATATGTCTACATTTTGTTTCCGATTTGAGCAATCCGGGCAGTATCACAACTCATATACAAATCAAGTAACTTATGTGGTGCATATGTGTTCGGTGGCCTTCTGTACCAATATTTATGTGTTCAGATAAATAAAATGAACGACCCTATAATACGACTTGTTTTAGTAATGAATATAAACATATTAATACCAATCTTAGATTTAAATCCTATAGACCACAATGGTTGATAACTAGTTGAGAATCTAGTACGCCCCGGAGATTTCGTTGTTCTTGTTTTTTTGAACTCACATTTTACGTCGTCTCAGTTATTTTAACCCAATTAGTAGAAGGATATTTCGGGTTCAGAATAATTTTATAGGGTCACTTCAGTCACCTCTTAGTTTACAGTAGGATAGTTTAAAAAGGCTTTAATTTCCAAACCTCACAATTATTAAAGAGCTATGTGACCCTAGTTATTCCTAAATTAAGGGCTTTCAAAGTCTTTTTGACATTTAGAAGTTGTGTTTGAAATAGCGGCTTCTGGCCTGTATAAAACTCTTCAATTTTAACTTTGCTATAGCAGAGTGAACTATGGTGGAATTGTATAACAACTGTGAAACTTCTTTGAACCCTTTGGCCACAATCGAAAGGCAGTAGGTCGTCGTCTTAAATCCATGAAACACTTCGATCACTGGATCATTGTAAGTTGTACTAAAGGCAAAGATGTGTTCCGATAGTTGTATTTATTATCATCTATAACATTTATAAGCATTGGAGATGACTTAGAACAGTTTTCCATGACTCTCAAATTGGAATACTGCATACACATAACATTTCTCTTGACGACTAGCCAGAAAGTCCTTAACTTAGAAAAAAAGCATATGGATATTCCTCACTAGGCGTCATTTCAGAGTAACATTATTGGCAGCTTTGTTAAAATCAATATAATTTGAATATTCTTAGCCACTGTTATGCAGCAAAGCCACCAAATGCCATGGTACGGCGGAGTGTGAGGAGGGCCCGTCCACTCTCAAAATGCTCTCACACGGTCACTCGTACACATCCTCTGCCAGGGAAGTAATACTCATTGCCTTCTCGTGGCGGGGGCGTTGTTCATGAAATTGAGTGGACGGAAAGTGAGATTCTGGCGCTTCAACCGAGTTGGTGGAAAGAAAAAGTCCATCTAGATGAGTTGGTAAACCCTGATTGCAAACCAATGGTGCTCACAAGTTCCAGTATCCCAAGGGAACAATTGGCGTATTGACCTATTGTTGGTCACCACCTAACATGGGACCGCATCTCCTCACGATGCTCCACTGTCGTGTGGATCAGCCAGACAGTCACAGCGAAGAACTTTGTACGTACGTACATCAGTTGGAGTTGCCATACCACATTAGCACAGAGATCCAGTTGTCGATTAAAATCCCATAGTGGTAGAAGTAGTAAGAGTATAAGCATTAATGTGAAAGATTAGGGTTTGAAGATGTTATTTAAGGAGTATAATCCATTGAAATAAATCTGGAAAGAGAAAAAGATCGGGACATGCAGAATCCAGATTAGAATTTGAGAGAACACGAAGAGTGGATGCACCTTCACCATTGCAAACGATTTTGAGCCATGTCATTCAAGGTCTCTAACCATCGGTTGCTACCATCTCGCGAATCCCAACCAGGTAGTCTACACCTACCAACATGGCTCAGTCCAATTGTCAGTGACTTCATGGATTTGTGCTATGTTTTGGTCTGGCCGCAACTAGCTTTCTTCCAATTTACTTCTACACTATAAAACATCGCACGTCGTGGCAGTCGGTGGTTGGACATATGTAACACGTGTCCCACCCATCTCAATTGATGAAGTTTCACTACTTCAATCGATTTGCCATACTTACCTAGTACTCGTTTCCTAACACGACTGCATCACTTACTCGGTGGTTCCAGGATATACGAGCAATGCTTCGAAGACACCTATGATCGAATACTAGTAACCTACGAATATCCTCTACTCTTACCGGCCATGTTTCACCGCCATAAAGTAGGAAGGAACGAATTGTTGTGCAGTAAACCCGTCCTTTGGTTGGTAGACGGATATCTCGCCTACTCCATAAATTATGCAATTTGGCAAAAGCTAGATTCGTCTTCTGTATCCGTACTGAGATTTCGTCACACACCAGACCATAAGGGCTGATAAGACTCCCAAGATAAGTGAAGCGGTCGACACGCTCAACTACTTCACTCCCTATCATTAGTTTAGGTGTTGATGCAACCCAATCCTGAAGTAACATCTGGCATTTCGATGGGCAGAACCGCATTCCGAACACGCCTGAGTAGTTGTCCATAGTGGTCAGAAGACTCTGCATTTTGTCATCGTCTTCACCAAATATAACTTTGTCATCGGCGTATTCTAAGTCAACAAGTGAGGCTCCCGGTAAAAGTTGTTCTCCTTTAGATTGAGATGACGAAAGTGTTATTTCTAATAGCATGTCAACGACAAAGTCAAAGGCTCGGGGTGAAGCCTCTGAAAAATCATCTGCTTCAGTCTGAGCAACCGGGCAGTATCATAGCCCTCACATATTTAAAATGAAATGGCGATTGTTTATGTGACGCATACATATCTGGTGCCTTCTTTTACCAATATTTATGTGTTTAAATAAATAAGTAAAATGAAGCGAAGCTTACCAGCTCGTAGTCAGTCTGGAGGTAAGTGGATTGAAGGTTATGGATCTCAACTAAATTATATTGCATCCCCTGGGTATGAAGTTGTGTGAATACAGTGTGTCGTACAGGAATACCATTTTTCAGCTTATAATAGAAACACGGACTAGAATTGTCTTCAATGAAGTTTCGATTTCATATTCCCAAGTTTCGCCTACTTCCGTTTATCGTTCCACACTCGTTACTGCTCTACTCTGATCAGTTCTCGGAGTATCATGTGTTACGCTAGTTTAGGAGAAAATTTTACCTTTTACTTACAGTTCTTTTCAGATAAGTTCTGGGTACCGTTAGGACATTTTAACAAGTTTTGCAGCTACATTTTGTCCCATCAAATCCGACGTAATATTTATCCTACCCAAATGTTTCAGTTATGACGTTGTTCAAAAGCTCTTAACCCAATTATGATTGATGTGGCCGTGGCTTGGATTACTGGTCAAATTAGAGGAGTTGGACAAATCCTGAATATTATAATCGAAAGTGAATATGTGCTGATTCATCTGTTTATTAAGTTCAACCCTTGCACTTCATGTAAGGAGTCCAAACTACATAAGGATATGAAAACTCAGCAAGTTGTATGATCATTATCAGACAGTCATTGCTAAACATTGTTCATCCTTCGGATCAGTCAACCCTTCATATACAAAGAGTAAAAGTCGAGTTATTGGAGTGCACTGGAACGTAACTATGTCAAGTGAGTTATGCATTTGATGTAGGGATTACAGGATATAGGAGTGACAGTCCAATCATTTACTAAAATCAGCTACAACAATTATAATACAAATAACAATAAACAAGGAAAATAATGAAACAAAGGCCCTGATACTAATGATTAAACCCTATATGTCGAATTATTCCTGATAACAAAGGTAAATAGTTAGGCTTACATATTATGAGTCAGGCTAGTGTTGTCTAAAACCCACAGAATTCGAGTTGTGATCCCATAGGCTTTTCATCAACAACTGAAATTATTCATAAACCAAAATATGAGGGAGTCAGGTATTAGGAATGAAGCTAAGATTGAGTTCGATTGGCAAATTAGGATAAGAATATTTTTAATACGAAGTGAAACCTCTTACAATCCAATTCTTCTCCCTCTTCTGTTAACGAACTTAAGAAAAATATTGTTGAACATTACCGCTTCACCAAACGCTTTACAATTCGTTGAATTACTGAAAACAACACATGACAAAAATATCTGTCTCAGGAGTAATTAGGTTTTGTGATTTTTCTAAAGCCTCACCAAAATTCACTTAATGATTCCATAACATTTTAACTGATTCCAAGGATTTTAGGATTCAAACACTGAGAATTCTCACCTGTATTGTGATACAACTGCACCTTAAATTTCAAAAAAGCACACGAGACATTAGCCTAATCCTGATTGCTAACTCAGCGCCATAGTGACTCGATAATTCATACAGACCTGTCGGTGACCCAAGAGTGACCTTGAGGGTGCCTACAGTCATACAACAGGGATCGACAACGTTTACGGAGGCCAAACCCGACTCACAAGTCCTCGTCGTGCCCTCTGGATCATGGGACTGTTTCCATGAACTAACGTGAGCAGTAGACCGAATGTTATAGATCGGGCTAATCACCCTCTCTACCTATACCCACAACTGATTGCGAAAGCCACAAAAAATCATTGCAAAATTATAATTAATTCAAAAAAGACAAAAAACGCCCAAAACTGGAATTTCGTTTATGGAATGTACGGGGTCGTTCAAAAAAGTGCAAACTCCAATAGATTGTAGAGCACATCTTCGAAAACAAGTACCGCAAACCCAAACGGAGGTAACGTAAGGCGATACACGCCTTAACTACAGACTACCAAAATATACCAAATAGCTTGCTTCAAAATGAATATACTCTAAATCAGGTGAAAAGAGAAATCATACAAGCTGCTAACAAAGCTGAAATCCCATATAAATCGGCCACTAAGAGATGGCAACACAACATAAGTAATCTCTCAAACGAAGAGATTAAACATAAAAAACAATTAAGACTAACCTGGCTAAATAATCCTACAACTACTAATAAATCTTCATATGCAAGCTAGCAAAATAGTGAACCGTAAGATTAAGTTAGCTCAAGACCAATATATCAAAGATGGAA